CCTTTCTGGCCTACGTTCTAACTTTGTTTTGCATATTAAACATTGCTGACTGCTTATTTGACCGCTCAATGCTTACGATATGTTTCTCGTTGATGGTTTTTGAAAGCATTTGCCAAATTAATAAATGTAAGAGTAATTATAATTCAGCCTATTAGTTGTCTTTGTCAAAAAGGATAAAACACCACCCCCGCAGAAGAAGATCAACGCCTACTTCAACACGGCCGGTTTAGCCCCGCCCACCATTTCGCGCATTACACGCATAGCTAAATAACATAGATGTCTACCTTGTGATGACAAACCGGATGGAGCTACTGAGCAATACAAAATATTGTGCAGTGCCTGACTGTGGAAGAAGACAGTCGCTGCATTCCTCTGGATTCCAATAGGACTGCATGGATAAACTTTATTTTGAATGACGTTCCAGCTGATGAGGTAAAACATTGTCCGTCTGTTCGCTTCATTTCACTGAGGATTGTTTTGTAAACAAGACTGGATTTTCAGACCGATTAAGAGTAAAGAACGGTGCTGTGCCGTCTATATTGGATCTGACAGGAATTGTTCAACACACGGACTCTGGGTCGAACATGTATGGGCGAATCATTCCGGTTGCCATTTTACAACATTGAACGTTTTCAAAACAATTTCCCCCAAGTGTATCGACTGGTGAGTTGAAACTCATTATAATATGCAAAACTGTTATCCACTCACAGCAGTGGGCATTTACTTCCAAATCTTCAGTGCGAGACGCCCTTAAAAAACGAGCATTTTTCAGCTAGGCTCAAAACTAGGGTCCAAAATAGCCTATTACTTATTCATTGTGATGTTTTGGAATGCAAAAAACAAATGAACGTCATAAGTTGACCTCAGAAAACAATATAACAAAATTTAAAAAGCCAGTTCATGACCCCTTTAAGTGAATTGATTTAATACCTAAAACATTTTTAATATTTGCAGAAAAAAAATATTGGTTAACTGTAAGTTGATTTAGTGTTGGCTAAATAATATGTCATTGTATGTAATGTATCCAATTTTACTGTCAAATTCATGGTTTCTGAAAGTAAATCTATGAATTACCATAGAATTCATAGTGAAAAACAGTAAAAAGTTATTCCTGTAATCACGCGATACATTATTGATAACAAAATAAGACTGAACAAAACTATTTAAACTAAATGTAGAGTACTTTAGGGTGTTTTTGTTACATGTGTGTCCTGTGGTTCCCCAATGTGTGTCCGTTCTCGTTTATGTATAGTGTGGTTTTTGTTACTCCTGTGCTATTTGATTAAATTCCTGTTGACCTGTTCTCCTTGTCTCTTCGTGCAGTTTTGAGTTACGTTTTCTGGTATTTGGTTATTTAGTGCCGTGTGTTTTCACAGTACAATTTCACAGTACTTATAAAAGAGTAGGCCAAAATTACCCGGATGACCTACTCCTTATGGTGAGATTCTGAAGTGTGCAAATGATGGACACGTTACTATCCCATGAGGGCACAGGAGAAGTATTGTGAATGGCAGTGAAGCGACGCAACTGACGCCGGTAGATCACATGATAATGACAACATGGTGAATGTAGTACATATGGATTTCATTTAGCCTATACTGCACACACTCATATATAGCATGCATTTAGTGATCATGATGTAATTACTTGTTCAAAGTAAGTACCTACTTAATAGAGTATGTGATTTCAGAACCATGGGTGTTTCTCAAAACCAAGAATGCAAAGAACGGACTTGTGTTTTGGGGGAGATCACTCTAGTTGATCTTGGAAGAATTTACTCACAAGGTGGCGAGCACACAGAACGCTGCTGACAGTTTGAGACGATGTGTTCTCGCTGGTAATGCGCAATAGTATTACCCCCAAACAAAGCTGTCTGCAGTGCCCAAACATAACGAGAATTACTGACGATAACAGCCAGGCTGCAATGGTCTGTGGATTAAAACGAGTCTGTGAGCAAACTGGCTGGTTGACTTGCTAGCTAACTTAACACCCGCAGGTGCTTATGGAGATTCTCACTTCCGAAAACATTCGAGTCGCCATAAATTTTCGTAAAAATGCCAATATTTGAAATCTACACAGTTGATTTCTCACATCAAATGTTCTCAGAAGTGAATTTAGCGATGAAATAGCGTACGAAATTGTAGAAAAACAAATAACTGCATTGACCCTGTCCTCTCCTTCCTCGAATGCTGAATTGAATCCCGGGATATTTCTGCCGTCAAGTTGAGTTCACACAAGTTACCACCAACCTATGCATCCTCTCTAAAATGGGAGTGTCAAGAACACTTTTCTAAAATGGGCGTGTCAAGAACACTTCCAGGATTTTCAACCGTTCTTGCCAAAATGCAAACTTGTGTATTGGGACAGTACTTGACTACAAAAAAAATTATGTTTCCGAAGAACACAAGTACAGACAAGAACACAGATTGAGAAAGGCCCCTTTTTTTCATCTTTTCATTCTGCAATCCAGGCGTGCGTTTCCCGTACAACGATGTAACTCGCTGCTTCTACCATAGTACGATGCGTTGTTAGAGGAATCAACCAGCTAGTCACGACTGTTTCCTAAAACCCATTGTTGCAAAGTATTGTTCAACCATGCTGGTTTCGCACGTGGTGAAGTAATAACTACTTTTAATGAAACTGTTTGAGATCCAATTAACGCTAGATTTGTTGAAGACATGTCATCTGAGGACTATTTCTAATTGTTCTCAGTTATTTTGATTTATTACCAGACTCAATATTTGGCTCGTTCTTACATAGTAGAGCACGTTCGCACATGCGCACTCTTCAAACACGGTACTTTAAATCTTTTGACAAACTAAAATACGTAAATTACATTTGTATGTATTCTAAATGACAGGGACTGGTTGTACTGACTGTCAGCTTGCTTATTTTGCTCAAGATAAGAATTTATTTACATCCAAATGTGTTGCAATTTAGAAACTATGCCTCTAACCACAAGTCGAGAGCTGTCGTTCAAACCACAAAACTTTGCGATGCTGTTTGCCGTTTATTGGAACGACTGTTTCGGGAAACACCGACTCGTTGAACTACGCTGATAACGACGGAACTTGCGACCATAGTTGGCTAACGATGCTTTCGGGAAACGCACCCCAGAATGGCAGCACAGCTGATAGGTTTGAGTGGCGCCCTCTACTGTTCAGGCGTATAAAAAAGGCTATTAAAAAACAAGCATTCCCATAGTTACTTTTTAACGTTGTGAAGCAATATTGTAACACATTAGCCTATTTTTAAAAGTAACACTGACCACAACTATACATACTATATACAGTCAGTGTAAACAGAAGGTTAGTAAGCTATGCTCAGCCAAGGACCGTATGAGCTGCACAGCCTTCATCACTAAAGACCAAACCCTCCTACATTCTTCATCTCATCACCCTGTGAGGTTATGCAGAGCTGTCCATTACTGCCAGGGCCAATCAGTCACTTCCTCCTTTGGGATGCTTCTCTGGGTCCCATTAACAGGCTGAGGGCAAGCAGTGTTTGGCAAAGGGCAAATGTGAAAGAGATGAAGCAGTGGAGGTGTAAGTGCCAAACGAGAAGGAGAGAGGCAGAGCCGAGGCAGCTCTGTTTTCTATTTGTGGGGATTAGACTGACAGATCTGTATTTGGTTTCGGGGCCTCTGGCTTCAGCTAATCCTCATCACCTGCACCCCCTCCCTTCAAGAAGTCTCCAACTCCCCCTTCTGCGGCCTTGTAACCCTGCACTCCGGCCCAATAAAGCAAACACTCACCCCGAGACTCATGCTACGTAAGGTTGACTACAACCTCAGCCCAGAGGAAGAGAGATAGTCTGCCTCTTTGTACCTTTTCAAAATCTATTAGAGCAGGCTGTGAGGTGTTGCTGTGTTGGTTTTGGAGAGATAGCAATTATCTGCAGATTAAACTCAAGTGTTACGGAAACTGCTTGTCAATGTCACTCAAGGAAAGAGGGAAAGATGGCCAGATGCTCCGTGAGGAGCCGAATGGAGGTTTTCAGGTCAGGTCAGGGGCAAGGACCTTCTGTCTCCCTTATAGTCTCACGATTTTTTCACACATTGTCAACAAGATCAGATCCTTCTCTTGACAACCTAATTAACATTTAAATTCTGTTACTCATTTCAGACTAGCTCTGCATCCGCATAACATGAAATGGCAGCCGTATATCATCATTGTCATTACAAATAGCCATGCAATAACAAATATGTTTAAATTACATTACATAATCTACATTTCGTTTACACGTTTAACATATTCTTAAATACAATGGAAGAACTAATGAATACATATTATGTAGGCCTAATGTAGGCCTACCACTACTTAAAGTCATCTGAGAGTAAGAAACGCTAATCTTATTGCATTTAATAAAATAAAATAACTATAATACATTTAAAAAAAATACAATTAACATACAATGAATGAAGTTTCAAAAAACATTATTACATACTTGAGTAGGATTATTTTCGTAAGTAGGAGTTAAAGTACTTTTCCACTCTTCACGATGAATTAATTTAACCTGTATTGTTTCCTTCGCCACATAACTTCCCTTCCTCTTTCGATTTGGAACACAAAAGGTGAAATTTTAAAGAATACTTTTTTTTTTTCCCGCTAGCGCGTTTCCCCCATGTAAAATCCATAGACGGTAAAATCTTTAAAGCGCGCGACACGGCGGCAGAATATATATCTGCGCAGGCGCGCGCACAGCTGTTATCTGCTCAGTGCTCACAACTGACGAAGATTATTTTAACAAAATACGAACTAAAAACTCGACTCGCATATTCAGTGGTTTTATCTTCTATTATTGTATCACTTAGTCGTTAATATCCATAAAAGTGACAGCCATTGGAAGACTTATTGAGCGTCATCACTCGATGGTACATTAATCCGCTAACTCACTCCAAATGCTAAAACTGTTTTCCACTTGCAAACAAACAACTGCAGCGAACGCTAAATAATTGTAAGTTAACTATTTCGACTGCAGTTGAGATACTTCCTGAGCAGATGGCTGAGCAGTTTACTGAGGTAGATCGTTTACGAGAGAAGCTAACGTTACTCGAGAGTCTGGAAATATCTGACCAACGCCAGGAGGACATCAGCAGGTGAGGTGACACAACGAGCAGCAGAGTAGGCCTATTATGTTTTTGATACTAATTTTAAGTTTTCCTCCATTCTTGTCTGTTTGGGCGTTATAATTTAATATAAATCCCCCTCCCAATTCACAGAGAGGATGTTTTGTCGCGCATTGAGAAAGTCATTCAGACGATAGTCATCAGTGTGTCTAAAGGTGAAGCTCCTGTGCTGAAAGTGATGAACAGATCCAGCTGGACCAATGTCAGGTGTGTGTGTGTGTGTGTGCCCAATGTTTATTTACACAGCCTAATTAAGATAAGCAGGACTTTATTTAAATATAGGTTTGTATTATCTCTATCTATCTATCTATCTATCTATCTATCTATCTATCTATCTATCTATCTATCTGTCTGTCTGTCTGTCTGTCTGTCTGTCTCTCCGTCCGTCCGTCTGTCAGTCATATAATATCTGGCTGTCTATAGTACTTAATCTGAACCTTGATTCTTTCAAATAAAGTAACTCACAGACTCTAAATAGTTGTAATTTCATGAGAGGATGAACCCACCCCCCCCTCTCATACACACTTGCAAGTTGCAATCCTCTGAAGAGGTTTTCACTAAGCACAGTGTAATAGCTCTTGTGCAAAACAAAGAAAACTGTCTGGTCAGATCTACATCAAACCTCCCTAAAGCTTAAAGCCCGTTTCATCTGGGCCCCTCTAAGGCCAGGGTCCTGACAACTTTGAACGTCTAGGCTTTTGGCTTACTGCTGTTATAGTAGTATAAGGTATCTTTCATGTTAGCAAAATGACTGATAGTTTTAATATCAGATATGAGAACGAAACACTAATTTAAGTGAATAATTTCATCCCCCACAACAATAAAACCTCTCAGAACTTAGATTTCCCAGAGCAACATTTGGTTATGATCATTGTAAGATTTTTCAGATGAGACATGGAGATGTTTTTCCCCAAAACATTTCACCCATACACCCCAGACATGAAGTATCTCCTGAAGTCATCTTTATTTCTTGTGCATATTTCAGGGCATGTTATGACTATCTGCATATTAGTATAAGACAAAAAAAAAAACGGAAATGAGCAAAAGCTATGTTGGTTTTATTCTCAGATTTCAGAAGTCTGTTGGTTTGGTGCTGAAGGCAGATGTCTCTACAACTTCTCTCCGATGTGACTGCCCTTCATCAGCCACCAAGTTCGGTGAGATCACTTGCTTTAGCATATTACAGATAATAAAATAGTCATTACCATCCAAATATACAAATCTATTTTTGACATTGACACGGACCTATCCAAACTTTAAATGTAATTCATCCACAAAAAGGTAATCTGACATACATTTTCTGCCTGGGGGACAAAAAAAAATCACTATAGACTTGCATTAATGCAGGGAACCAAGCCATATATAGAGACCAGAATATCATAGAGGCTCTCTTGACTTGGGCTAGTAATAACAACCCACAACCTCCTAGCAACTGCATACACTGTAAAAAAAAAAAAATGATATGATCAGTAAGTTATGACAACATTTTTTTTTTTTACATTGCTTTAACTCATCAAAAAAAAGAGTATTTGTGAGACATATGTATATGTTATAAAGTCATAATTGCGAGATATACTCACAATTGCGTGTTATAAAGTCAGGATTTTTTTCAAACTCACAATTGACTTTTTTCTGGTAATTGCGAATTTAAATTTCGCAACTCTGAAATCTTTTCTCAGAATTGTGAGATATAAACTCGCAATTGCAAGTTATAAAGTCAGGATTGCGCGATATAAACTCACAATTGTGAGAAATAAGCTCGCAATTGACTTTTTTCCGGCAATTGCGAATTTAAATTTCGCAACTCTGAAATCTTTTCTCAGAATTGTGAGATATAAACTCACAATTGCGAGTTATAAAGTCAGGATTGCGAGATATAAACTCACAATTGTGAGAAATAAACTCTTAATTGACATTTCTGGCAATTGCAAATTTAAATTTCGCAACTCTGAAATCTTTTCTCAGAATTGTGAGATATAAACTCGCAATTGCAAGTTATAAAGTCAGGATTGCGCGATATAAACTCACAATTGTGAGAAATAAGCTCGCAATTGACTTTTTTCCGGCAATTATGAATTTAAATTTCGCAACTCTGAAATCTTTTCTCATAATTGGGAGATATAAACTCGCAATTGCGAGTTATAAAGTCAGGATTGCGAGATATAAACTCACAATTGTGAGAAATAAACTCTTAATTGACTTTTCTGGCAATTGCAAATTTAAATTTCGCAACTCTGAAATCATTTCTCAGAAATGTGAGATATAAACTTGCAATTGCAAAAGTCTAATTCTAAGGAAAGAAAGACTGACTTTTTTCCTCAGAATTGCAAGGTAATATATCTCAATTCTGACTTTAACACACAATATCTGACTCGAACAGAACTGCGAGACATAAAGATGCAGTTATAAGGAAAAAAAGTCAGAATTGCGAGTTTACGAAAGTTTATTTTTTAAATCTTTTTAACACGCAAATGGACCTTTATATAAAAAGTCAGAATTGTAAGATGAAAAAGTCACATCTGTTGTGAAAACAAGCTTTCATTTCATTGAACTGTGGAAGAATTCTATATTCCATTTACAACATATGACTGTTTCCGGCATATCCCTGATTTACAGCCCTGATTCTGAAGATCTTGTCTGTCATTTACAAACTTGTACAAAGTGACTCCTATGCTACTAAAAGGTAAGTGATAGTGATAACATGTCCACAAACTCTGTAGGTTAAAATATGGTTACAATTTTTTTCCTTCACAAGATCATTTTACATGCTCTTGTGTTACATTTTGAAAAGTAAAAAAAAAGAATCCATGTTCCATGCTTGTATGCATAAAAATCATGAAAGTAAAATGGTGTTTAAGATGGAGTTCAGCATGTCATACTGCAGGACTATATTTTGGCAAGTTTTTCTCCAGCGCCTTTAAGATATGACCTGTTTCATGTCTAAATATTTAACATTTTTGTCAGCTTTTGCGGACCGTTTCATTCAAACCACCTGTGGATATAAGTGATGATGTGATTATAAATCAGCAAACAGTGTCATAAATCATCTGATATAGGGAGCAGGTGGAACCTTTGATTTTTTTTTTATTTTTTTATGACGTGATTTGTCAAGTGCACCTGTGCACTGAAATGTTTGCTCTTGGATCCGTCAGGGATATTTACTATAATGACGTGCAGCTGTTTGGGTCACAGAGGACCGTGGATTTCATCGTCGAGGACGTTTCGTGCTTGCTGAAGGTTCCTCGTAGGAGTCTACATGTTGTATGTGCATATGGCTCTAGTGTATAGTATAGACTTTTATACACTCACACAAAAGCTAAACGGATAAAGTGATTATCATGTATTATTTAAGGCCTCATTTGCATAGGTTGACCATATCCAAATTATTTCTTTTAATAATCCTCACAGCTTGCAACATCCAAAGGCTTCATCTCAGGTGATCTGTGTTATTTGGAGGAAGATGGCACGAAAGTGGACTGCAATTCCAGCTCCGCGGTGAGTCCAGATCGCCAGCCAACCTTTCTGTAAAGCTCACTTAATGTGCACTGTATGCCCGAGCATGATTTATATAATCTCCTTCTGCCCAAAGCCATTCATCTGCAATTCGACATTTTTAGACCGTATCTGTCAAACTTTCACATCAGTATAACTCAAAAGCTGTTCCACTTGAGCACTGGTCTGACATACCATTCTGAAGTTTTTAGTCCATCCTATTTTTGCTGGGAATGATTTGAAATGTTTTCATAATTTTTCCCCCTCCCCCTAGGCTACCCCTGTGTCTTCCAATGTTAACGGCATCAGAAGTATCCTTCCTGTTTTCTTAAACCATGTAAAGGAACACCATCATAATCAAGGTCAAGTCACCTTATGTATTTAGCGCTGTATCTAATACAGATAGATTCAAAATAGATTCACATTAATAAACAGGAAAATAACAGAATAATGATGCAAACTTCATTGAATATGATAGAAATTCAAATTCTGATTTTTAACTTTTTAAAAGATGATATCATTATTCAGCTTGAGTCAGTTCAGTGTTGGTTCATTCAGTTGTTGGGGCAAAATTCGTCAGTTATGAAATGAATTCAATTAAAGGACAAGTTCGGTATTTTACACTTAAAGCCTACACTTTGTTTTAAGATCGTTTCTGATGATCGGTTAATAGAACGGTTAAAATTGAAATTTGGACACATGCTGCTGGCCCGAGAATGTTCGGTTTCTGTGGTTGCACCCTCCAAACCTTCACAATGGTTGCAAAGGTGCACTGGAAAACCCTCTTAAAATGCATTAAAGTTAGTTTACAAAGACGTGAAACTCTTTGAGTGGTCTGGGGTGTTCACTTATATGCTCACACCAAAATCGCTGCAAAAGATGCTTTCCAACAGGATTTATCATAGATTTTATCCAACTCCATTGACTTGTATTGGATGTGCTGTGAGGTACGGTATTACTCCGCCGCCGGAGTAATCTTCTGCTTTTTCTGTGTATGAAATGCCAGTGGTTTGCTTGCAATTGGCAAAGGTGCATTATCGCCACCAACTGGGCTGGAGTGTCTATTCAATCAAGCTCTCAACGGAAGAATGTACGGTTGTGAGGCGTTTGGAAAATTATGTCTACAGTTTTTCATCGAATGGTAAAACACCTGTTGGAAAGCATCTTTTGCAGCGATTTTTGTGTGAGCATATCAGTGAACAGGGCTATTCAGGGCTCCAGACTGCGACCAAAATTTGAGAGTGTGCGACTGAATTTTACATCCAGTCGCACATGTGCGACCAGTAAATTTGCCACACGTTAAACGCATGGAAAAGCGTGGAAGGGGGGGGCGTCAATGAATCCGTGACAAGAATAGCGCGCGTAAACGTCTGTGGGAGGGAGACGGAGACAAATATTACAACCTGATGTGCGTCTGAGCAATCAGCGATCTATCGACTCGTTAGTCGTTACCTAGCAGCGAATGTAAACAAAATGAAAGTGGAACGAAAATACGCCACTCGTATGATTAGGACTGTGGAGCAGCAGCAGCGATCCGAACCATTGACAAAATAAAGCCCCGAACTTGCCAGTCGCGGGTCGATCTTGCTCACGCAACACTGTTACTAGATCCAGTAAAGAAATCCATTGAATTCGCCTCAGAATTGATAACATCAACACCACGAGATCCAGTGAGAAACACTCCGATTCGGCGCAGAGTTTCTGTTATAAACCACATCAAATCAAACAGCGCTGACGTGGAAACCAGGAGAAACACTTGACGTTAGGCTTTCAGTCCACAAATCAGCCTATCAGAACCATGCATTTAGGCTAATGTAGTAAGTTAATTCTAACCATAAATATGATAATGTGTAAGAAATAATCAAATGCTTACAAGTAGCCTACTACACATCTTTTCCCAGCACTTCAATAATATCATATTTGTATTTTTTATGTGATTACCAACACATTTTTTGTTCATCCTTTAAAGATTGTCCTAAAACGAAAAATTAAGATGTTGGAAAACTCTTATTTAAACACAAAAAATAATAATAGGCTACCATTGTAAACAGGATGTTTATTGGCTATTTTCACTCCATAATCCATATACATATTTCACTACTTTTATTAATTAATATTAAGACATTATAAATGATAGTAACTAAAGTTAATTTCATCTACTTTCATCTACACCCTAAATTAAGCTTAGTGATTTATTGTCAGCCTCCGTGCTACCACATTTTTATTTTATTTTATTTTTTTGTAGAACTCGCTGTGAGTTCTCATTTGAGGTGATGCTGCCCTCAACTTTGGGTCTGGAGCCCAGTGAACTTAAAATAAAACAGCATATCATAATGTCAAGTCTATTTATTATTAAAGAATTTGTCAGTATTACAGTTATTTGGGGGGAAATTTGAATAATTGCATTGCAAGCTGATTTAAGATGTGCCCCTAAATTTTCTGCTTGCGCTCCTAAAATTTTCAGTCAGGGGCAACAGCGCTCCTAGTAAAAAAAGTTAGTCTGGAGCCCTGCTATTAAAACAGGGCTTTAAGTGTAAAATACCGAACTTGTCCTTTAAGCTATAAGAAACTCTACAGAGGACAATAGTATCAACAAGTCTTTATTTCAGGCTTAGTTTTAGTCATTTTAGTAATTTAGTCCAACTAAACCTAATTTCAGTAAGATGCAACTTTTCTCCCAACAGCCACAACAAAACTCCTGGTCTACTGTTATCAGACAAACACCAGAGTCAAGACATAATTAAATGAAATAAAGGCGGAATTAAATCATAAGACTTTTGGAGATCCTTTCTGACCTATGCTAAGTGCCTCCTGGTTGCACTGCACAGTGATGTGTGGGAGTTTTGGCACAATGGAGGCTTTTAAATCACAGAAATGATTCACATTGATGTAGTTACTGTATGTCACTGCTCTATCAAAGTTAATTGTAGCTTTTAAAGGGATATTTCACCCAAAAAATAAAATGATGTCATTCTTTACTCACTCTGAAGTTCAACACACAAAAAAGATATTTTGAAGAATGTCGTTAACCAAACAGTTGATGGATAATAGTATTTACAAATAGTATTTGTATTATATATTTATATATACTATGGAAGTCATCAACTGTTTGGCTACCCATATTCTTTAAAATATTTTCTTTTGTGTTCAGCAGAAGAAAGAAACTCATACAAGTTTGAAACAACTTGCATGTTTTAATTCATGATTGTGAATTATAAACATTAAAATATAAAAATATAATTTATATTTAATTTGAAGGACCGTATGAATGAACCTCTCTGTTGGATTATCTATTACATTCCTCAGCAACATATAAGACATTGTATCATCTGCAAAATTCATTCTGATAGTGGAGAAAGATGCAACGTTCCAGAGACTACTGGACGATGATTTTTGTACCAGACTTTCGCCCTGCATCATCATAACAGTAAGCATCTGTTAGATCAGTGCTGGTGTGTACTTTCAAGGCCTGAATGTTTGGTCTTGTGTGTTCATCAGGGTAAAGGGATGCCTGATGTCAACAGCAGACTGATGGTGAGGAAACTGTGGGACACGCTACACGTCCCAGTTTTTGCTCTGGTGGATGCAGATCCTCATGGTACAAACACACACACACATTTATTAATCAAGCTTACATCATGTTGCTTATTCAAGAATGAGGGATTTAGGGTGCCAACTACCCAAAACCATTCTTGAGGAAAATTACTTTTAGAGTAATGTGTTACAATATTGTCTTACTCTCTAAAAAACTCATTGTGCTACTTAGTTTTATGGAAAGTAATGCGTTATGTTACGATTTTTGGAAAATGTAGAGGTTTATCTAAAGTCATTTCAGCTTATTAGTATGGTTGAATTGAATCTTTTAAGGTCCGCAGCAAAGACCATTGGTTAAAAAAGGGAGATTAAATACATAAAATATATTTGTGTAATTTAAAATATTTTACGATTTTGTGTAGGTTGGTGTAATATTCAGAGTTTGCATTTCATTTCACTCTTTTTTGAGGAATACTGAACCTATTTTTGTGCAAGTCAGATGAGTAAATGCTCACATTTATTCCAGAACTACAATAACCATCATGTTTCGCACAGCGCACACAACACCTCTGCACTCACTCACGATTTCTCTCAACATGAGGACAGGAGAGATTTGAAAAGTAATCTGATTAAAGTTACTCAAATTGTAATACCCCCAACACTGCCCACAACACCACTAGCATCTTTGTGAAAAAGTGTGCTTAATTGTATTAAATATGCACTTGTAGTCTTTGAAGTATATTTTGTTTCTTACATATAACGCCAGCTAAGTATACTTAAAAAGAGTACACCGTCATGACTTTTAAATGCAATTTTTTTTAAAGTGCAATTAATAAAAAAGTCACTTATTTTAATGTCTTGACTAACAATACTAAAGCACATGCAAAGTACTTGATTATAATTTTAACTTTAATTAAAGTGAATATATTTCTATGTTCTAAATTGCTCGTTACGAATGTGTAATAACAAATATATATTTAAATACATGACATAGTAGTTTTAATAGAAACTGCATTAAAGTATATCTCTCAAGGAGTCATTGAAAAGGCTCTTAAAAATGTCATGTTGCCTGCAACATGTCATTTATACTCAGTAAAGTCATTGAACCACAAACACATTTACAAGCTAAGATAACAAACACACGCATGCTCCATCGTTCACATGAGTTCATCGGTCCCTGAGAATGACTGATCCTGCAGTGATTTTCATTTGTGGCAGGTCTAGTGCAGTTTAGCATGAACATGAAGGCCCTGCTTTTTCTGACACTGTCATTATCAATGACTCCAGCACTCTCTGTGCATGTGTTCTTTGTTTACTTGTCTCTCTTTACTTTGTTCTCGGGCGAATTAAGTTGTCCCAAAGGATAATTGCAAGGGTATGGTAGTGATTGCAGAATCAGCCTCTCCTTTTTTTTTTTTTTTTTTTCCAGGCATCGAGATCATGTGCGTCTACAAGTATGGCTCACTGGTAAGTCCTGTTTCCTACTATTTCTGTGCAATTTCCAGTGAGGCCTGTACAGTTTTGCATTGCGGCGACATGTAATTATTCTTCTCTCTTTGTGGCAAGACAAAAAAGAGGAAGCTCTCATTCATGAACTTAAAATTTACCCTGCGGAAAAAGTAAAGCGTTTCTACATGTGTATGTGTGACACATCTGCAGAGTGTGTGGCTACATTTTGGCTGTTTAACTCACTTTCACATACAGAATCTTGCAGTACAATATATATATATATATATAGGTAATTTTCCAGGATAAAATATCTAAACAAATATGAATGAAGAAATAATATAAATATGTAAAAATGTTATTATATTCTTTTGAATACTATAAGTACATATTGTAACATAATATTACATTTTTACTAGAGAAGCAAAATTGTGTTAAATAAGATTTTTTTAATTTGTTTTTGAAAGAAGTCTCTTCTGCTCACCAAGATAAAGTTAAAACAGTAAATACAGTTAAAACTAACATTGTGGAAATATTATAAAATGATTATGATAGGTATTGTTAAATATTATTATTTAAAATAACTGTTAATTAAAATAAAATGAAATGTAATTTTAATATATTTTAAAATGTAATGATTTTCTGCTCAAGAAACATAATTTCTTATTATCAATATTGAAAACAGTCATGCTGCTTAATATTTTTTGTGGAAACCATGATGTACTCTTTTCAGGATTCTTCTTTAATGAATCTGACAAGTTCATAAGAACGGCATTTATTTGAAATAGAAATATTTTGTAACATTATAAATGTCTTTACTGTCACTTTTGATCAAATTAATGTCTTTACCAAATAAAGTATTCATTAAAAAATAAAAACTATTCTACACCAAACTTAAACAGTTTTGCTTCTCAGTTACAATTTTGTTATTAAATTTGATTAAATTTTATATTAAAAAAGACAAAAATTCTGATAAGGTAAATTACTTTTTTTAAACATATCATGTTGGCTTGTTGTTTAATGTCTGTCGGCTGTCCAGCTTTAGGAACTCTAACTGTCATTTGTCCGCAGTCAATGGCCTTCGAGGCCCACAGTCTGACTGTCCCCAGTGTGCTGTGGTTGGGCCTCCTGCCTTCAGACATCCAGAGGTTTGGGAAAGTCAACTCATTACTCTGCTCTGTGGTTTGTGATTGAGGCTGGGCTTGCTCTGGTTTCCGTTTTCTGGGGTTTTTTTTGTTTTGGTTTTTGTTGCTGTTTTTTATTTCCTTCCTCTTGAAAGCTATTTTGAAGTGTATGTGTCAACTGTCATGGACTTCAGAAATCAGAACCTCTTTTTAGGAAAATAGAGTAAACTACAGAAGAAAGAAATGTTAACTGCCGTTGTTAGCACCATGTAGCCTACATGATATGTTAAACACTGGCCACTTTGCAAGGCACATTATCTAGTATTGTATTGCGTAAGTTTCTTTTATGCTTTTAGAAGGGGAATTAATGCCACACTACCAAAAATTGGCAGTTTCCCATCTTTCAGCTCAGTTCTGAGATTTAGCTTGTAGAGAATGCAGCAGAACACCATGATCTGGCATACTTTATCTGTACAACATCACCCAAACTGAATCTGCTTTTTCAAATGCTGGAAGTACACTTGATTATACTGCGTGAATGGATATACATCCAGTTAAGACTTAATTTTGATGACTTTTATTTGATTAAGGTCATTATTTGTTTAAAAAAAAAACTAGGGGTGTGACGATCTCACAATATTTAAATGTGATGTAATTTCTCATTGAGGTGAAAAGCTTTCTCATTATATTAGCATGAAGGGATGTTCCAGTAAGATAACTGTTTCTCATTCTCCTCCTTCCTATCCTGAATCCCTCTAGCTAAAACAGCATATACTTGTATGAACATATAAGGAGAAGTGGCTTTAAAGCTAACTTCAAGTAAATTGTACACTGGAAAACCGAGTAAATGCAGTACAGGAAACTTCAAGTAATTTCTATACAAGGAAAACTTTAAGAAAACTCTATACAGGATAACTTAACAACTTAAATAATACTGCACTGCACATAAAACATAAAATACAAATTGACAGCATATTAAATTGGCTCTTACATGTGGTGTTAACTCCACATTGCAGTGCCAACATTGTACTTTGTGAAATGGAACGGTTTTGGAATGTTAACGCTGAATGCTTACAGTCACAGAAACTCTGCTCATTGTATATAAACTGTAAATGCTGAATTCGTCAAGTTTACCTCTGTCGCCTTCACCTCAAAGCTCAGCCAGTTCTCCAGCCCCGTCTCTGCTGGATGCCTGCAGACCTTCTTCTCTTCTTCCCCGGAAATGCCTTGCTGTGATGTGAAGCCTCAAGTTGTGCAACCACCAGCCTTGAGAGTATAAAGTATATCAAGAGGCTCCACCTTGTCCCGTCAACCTGTCGGATCCACCTTGGCTTCTACCACCTAGGGCTCCACCAGAGACCCTCGACCTTGCGGGTTCCCTCGTCCCCCCAGCTCCCCCTTGGTCGGCCGTCACTCTACTTTCGCCACAGACTTGCTAGCCTTCAGCTGCGCTCAGTCCCTCCACTTCTATGGCTACAGCGGGTTCCTTCTTACCTTCGGCTCCGCCTCAAGCGTGCCGCACAAGCCCACCAAAGTGAAGCCAAAACATCTTGATCGCCCCCCTGTGACCGGTCCTTGTATAGGTCATAAACCCCTAAAACTCTAAAGATAGTTTCTGTCATTCATTGTAGTTTCTATCACGTTGATGTAATTTCAAGTGTTCGTTTTTAAAATACGTTTTTTTTTTAGTTATTTGATGCTATAAAAACGGTGCTGTGACGACATGATTGACAGCTATGATTGACAGGTTCTCTGTGCGAGGTAGTCACTGAAGCACCAGCTGACTTTTTTCATAATGTTGACTATGTAGTTAGTAGTTGAATTCACCTCATTTTAACGAGGTACTGCAATCAGCGGACATCATTGGAGAGGAACAGAGCAGACAGAGGCTACTTAAGAAATGTGCGAGGCGTGTGCTTGCAAAAGATTCAGTGAGAGTGAGGGCGGGGCCTTGATTTCGCGGCTTTACTTCCTGCTCACAGGATGCGTTTTCGGATGCAAATGCGTTTTCGGACTCAAGTCCCAAGATGTCAGCGCCATATCGGGACATTGGCTTCAGTTCTCTCCAATGGAAAAGAGTGGAGGAGCGTCGTCCATCTTTTTTTACAGTCTATGGTCATTTATCACACCGGCCTTGGGCCCTCTGGCTCTCCACTCAGACGCTCGTATCTGCGGCTTCGCTTAGCTCTCCAGTGTCTATGATGTTGCTCTATACCATCGACTCTCTGTCTGTACCCTGGGATCCATCGGCTCCTTCTCCATCGGTCGTCGGACGGATGCCCCATCAACCCCAACTCTGCTTACTACCCTGCTGAGCTCTGGTTCTGTGGCATCGCTGGGCATCTACCATCATTACCGCCGGGGACACCATCATCTCCTGTCATCATCCCTTCACCATCTTCTTCCATCACCATCCCTTCATCATTTTCGGTCGCCATCCCTTCGCCATCTCCTGTCGTCATCCCTTCACCATCTTCTGTCGTAATTCCTTCATCATCCCCTGTCACCATCCCTTTGACCTCTACTGTCATTATCCCTTCCCCATCTTCTTCTGTCACCATCGCTTCGCCATCTGCCATTGCCCCATCTCCTGTCATCATCCCTTCGTCATTCTGTCACCATCCCTTCCATCATCTCCTGCCACCATCTCTTCGTCATGTTCTGTCGCCATCCCTTTATCATCTTCTGCCACCATCCCTTCGTCATCTCATTTCACCATCCCTTCGTCATCTTCTGTCGCCATCTTCCTATTGCCATCCCTTCGTTATCTCCTGTCATCATCCTTCACCATCTCCTGTCACCATCCCTTCGTCATCTCCTGTCATCATCCCTTCGACCATCTTCTGTCACCATCCCTTTGCCGTCTCCTGTCATCATCTCTTGTCACCATCCCTTCGCCATGTTCTGTCATCATCCCTTCGTCATCTCCTGTCACCATCCCTTCGACCATCTTCTGTCACCATCCCTTTGCCGTCTCCAGTCATCATCTCTTGTCACCATCCCTTCGCCATCTTCTGTCATCATCCCTTCATCATCTCTCGTCTCCATCCCTTCGCCATCTTCTGTCACCATCCCTTTGCCGTCTCCTGTCATCATCTCTTGTCTCCATCCCTTCGCCATCTTCTGTCACCATCCCTTTGTCTTCTCCTGTCATCATCTCTTGTCACCATCCCTTCGCCATCTCCTGTCATCATCCCTTCATCATCTCTCGTCTCCATCCCTTCGCCATCTTCTGTCGCCATCTATTTGCCGTCTCCTGTCATCATCCCTTCATCATCTCTTGTCACCATCCCTTCGCCATCTTCTGTCACCATCCCTTCCCCATATCCTGTCATTATCCCTTTGTCATCTCCTGCCATCTCCTGTCATTATTCCTTCGCCATCTTCTTTCACCATCCCTTCATCTTCTCCAGTCATCATCCCTTCACCATATCCTGTCATTATCCCTTCGTCATCTCCTGTCACCACCCCTTCGCCATCTTCTTTCATCATTCCTTCGTCATCTCCTGTCACCATCCCTTCGCCATCTTCTTTCATCATCCTTCGCCATCTCCTGTCACCATCCCTTCGCCATCTTCTGTCATCATTCCTTCGTCATCTCCTGTCACCATCCCTTCGCCATCTTCTTTCATCATCCTTCGCCATCTCCTGTCACCATCCCTTGGCCATCTTCTTTCATCATCCTTCGCCATCTCCTGTCACCATCCCTTCGTCATCTCCTGTCACCATCCCTTCGCCATCTTCTTTCATCATCCTTTCGTCATCTCCTGTCACCATCCCTTCGCCATCTCTTGTCACCATCCCTTCGCCATCTTCTGTCATCATCCCTTCATCATCTCTCGTCTCCATCCCTTCGCCATCTTCTGTCACCATCCCTTTGCCGTCTCCTGTCATCATCTCTTGTCACCATCCCTTCGCCATCTCCTGTCATCATCCCTTCATCATCTCTCGTCTCCATCCCTTCGCCATCTTCTGTCGCCATCTATTTGCCGTCTCCTGTCATCATCCCTTCATCATCTCTTGTCACCATCCCTTCGCCATCTTCTGTCACCATCCCTTCCCCATATCCTGTCATTATCCCTTTGTCATCTCCTGCCATCTCCTGTCATTATTCCTTCGCCATCTTCTTTCACCATCCCTTCATCTTCTCCAGTCATCATCCCTTCACCATATCCTGTCATTATCCCTTCGTCATCTCCTGTCACCACCCCTTCGCCATCTTCTTTCATCATTCCTTCGTCATCTCCTGTCACCATCCCTTCGCCATCTTCTTTCATCATCCTTCGCCATCTCCTGTCACCATCCCTTCGCCATCTTCTTTCATCATCCTTCGCCATCTCCTGTCACCATCCCTTCGCCATCTTCTTTCATCATCCCTTCGCCATCTTCTTTCATCATCCTTTCGTCATCTCCTGTCACCATCCCTTCGCCATCTCCTGTCACCATCCCTTCGCCATCTTCTGTCATCATTCCTTCGTCATCTCCTGTCACCATCCCTTCGCCATCTTCTTTCATCATCCTTCGCCATCTCCTGTCACCATCCTTGGCCATCTTCTTTCATCATCCTTCGCCATCTCCTGTCACCATCCCTTCGTCATCTCCTGTCACCATCCCTTCGCCATCTTCTTTCATCATCCTTTCGTCATCTCCTGTCACCATCCTTCGCCATCTCCTGTCACCATCCCTTCGCCATCTTCTGTCATCATTCCTTCGTCATCTCCTGTCACCATCCCTTCGCCATCTTCTTTCATCATCCTTCGCCATCTCCTGTCACCATCCCTTCGCCATCTTCTTTCATCATCCTTTTGTCATCTCCTGTCACCATCCCTTCGCCATCTTCTGTCATCATTCCTTCGTCATCTCCTGTCACCATCCTTTCGTCATCTCCTGTCACCATCCCTTTGCCATCTTCTTTCATCATCCTTCGCCATCTCCTGTCACCATCCCTTCGCCATCTTCTTTCATCATCCTTCGCCATCTCCTGTCACCATCCCTTCGCCATCTTCTTTCATCATCCTTCGCCATCTCCTGTCACCATCCCTTCGCCATCTTCTTTCATCATCCCTTCGCCATCTTCTTTCATCATCCTTTCGTCATCTCCTGTCACCATCCCTTCGCCATCTCCTGTCACCATCCCTTCGCCATCTTCTGTCATCATTCCTTCGTCATCTCCTGTCACCATCCCTTCGCCATCTTCTTTCATCATCCTTCGCCATCTCCTGTCACCATCCCTTGGCCATCTTCTTTCATCATCCTTCGCCATCTCCTGTCACCATCCCTTCGTCATCTCCTGTCACCATCCCTTCGCCATCTTCTTTCATCATCCTTTCGTCATCTCCTGTCACCATCCCTTCGCCATCTCCTGTCACCATCCCTTCGCCATCTTCTGTCATCATTCCTTCGTCATCTCCTGTCACCATCCCTTCGCCATCTTCTTTCATCATCCTTTTGTCATCTCCTGTCACCATCCCTTCGCCATCTCCTGTCACCATCCCTTCGCCATCTTCTTTCATCATCCTTCGCCATCTCCTGTCACCATCCCTTCGCCATCTTCTTTCATCATCCTTCGCCATCTCCTGTCACCATCCCTTCGCCATCTTCTTTCATCATCCTTTTGTCATCTCCTGTCACCATCCCTTCGCCATCTTCTGTCATCATTCCTTCGTCATCTCCTGTCACCATCCCTTCGCCATCTCCTGTCACCATCCCTTCGCCATCTTCTGTCATCATTCCTTCGTCATCTCCTGTCATCATCACTTCGCCATCTCCTGTCACCATCCCTTTGCCATCATTTTCTGTCGACATTTCGTCCTCTTCCTAAGGCTACTTGTTCTGTTCTCCAAGCCGCAAGGTCATACCTTGGAGGAGGGGGTCTTCTGTTAAGTATATTCACTTGTGTATTTCCGGATTGGAACTTGTGGATTTTCATCTTCTTCGTCTTTTTGACAGATGGAAACATAGCTACTGACTTTGATTTTGATCCGAATTGTAGGTTTTTGTATTGAAATGCACAAACTACATGTAAAAGTGGTCAGCTGTTTAGTGATTTCACCCATCTGAATGACAGCATGCATTAAAAAAAATCGCTGGAAACATCATCAGGTATTTTTGCTCTGATTCCGACAGCATCAGCACATTCATGCTGCCAGTTTCCTGCTCCACCTCATCCCAAAAACACTACTGGACAGAGATCCTGCATGTTTGTAATGCAGAATTTGTAGAACAACACACTCTCCTTAAAGTCTACATGAAATTAAGAAGACTGCTCAAAATTTTCAGCACTGATGTATTGAATTAAAGTGATGTTTCAGTTTTCTGATTTAATCTGCTACACCATGATAGCTGAACAGAATTGATTCTGGCCTGGTCTTATAATTTTATAAAAACACATTGTTCTGTTAACATTTTTGATATTTGATCAGTGAAGTTCTTATCATTTCTACATTGACTTTAGGATTTATACATTATTTTTGTCATGGCAGCACTGTTGTAAAATGAGATATAACTTTACACGGAAAAGTTTAGTAAACAATTTTTTACACTACAATTAATTTTGACATGCATATTGTTTACGTCTTGTAGCTTTACAATTGAAATGTATTATTTACATTTCCATTGTAAGTACCTCACTATAACCCAGATTTTTTTTTTTACTTTTTTTAAAGTAAAGGAGGGACAGCCCTTGTGAAAAATGAACTGAACTGAATGTGCAATTGTAATGTACTTCAAATCTTAGTTAATATAATATCAATGAAAAAAAGGCCACTTAAGTGTACTTAAAGAGTGCACTGTGTTGTCAGATTAAATATTTTACTTTAAAGTACATTTTAAATCATGTTTTAATATTCTTTTGTAGAATAGAATAGAAATGGCATTAGAGTATATTTTAGTCTACCATAAATGCCTGTCAGTACATTCAAACAGTAACTTTAACCATATTTTAAAGACAATATAATTGTAAAATTACATATGAAGTTGTACTTAAGTCCTAGTGAAGTAGTTATAAAAGCACATTAAAATGCAGCTAATTGCGTTTAATATAAATTTAAACTAATAGCATTTTAATTTACAGTTACCATGCAGTTAAGTGTCTGAAAACACTGCATTCAGTTCACACTTAAGTATATTATTTCTGTAATGAGCACTCTTAATCATTATGTGCCGTTGTCTTGAATCCAAATTAGTTCCATTCACTTGATTTTCTATTTGCCTCTATCTGCATCAACTAGCACTAGTACCAAATAAAGTGGCCAGCGATTATATGTAAGAGTAAATTAGATTATGTTTGTGTGTGCATTGTTATGAATGCACGAGGCCTCATGGCGTCTGTATGTGAATGGCTGTCACAGGTACAGAGTGCCGGAGGAAAGTATTATTCCATTTTCTCAATCAGATGAGAGAAAAATCAACAGCTTGAGGAACAGACCCTACATCACCTGCCAGCCTGCGTGGGAGAGAGAGGTGCCTCATTCCATGCTTCTGTACACTTAAGACATGACAAAGGCAATATGCAAAGAACAGGCGCTATGGTCAAAGATGCGTTTGTGACATTAGTGTTTTGACAGGTGTTTGCAGAGGCCAAGAATGTGAATGATGTCGCCTAATCTATGTGTCTGATTTTTTTCAGGTAGAAACGATGCAGAGACTGAAGCAGAAAGCTGAGATCCAGTCCCTGGCATCTATCGCCCCTCATTTCCTCACTCGAGTCTACCTGCCAAATAAACTGCGCTATGGAGGCTGGATATGAGCATCTGCTGCCCTCTACTGGAATATGTATGCCGCACATGTAGTATGTTTTCAAATGAAGAATACTGTACTTTGTTCTTACTGAATGTTAGATGAGCAGTTGTGTTGGATTACCGTCACCGTAGACTATGAGTTATGAGCTTAAATATGCCATACATCATCTGAGCTGTTATGTTAAAGCTGCTTTGGACTGGTACATTTGCATTGCCGGTGAATATTATGGAATAAATAAACAAAACTATCCCTTCCCTTTCACCATGAACTTCGTTATTTTATATTTTTAAAATACTTAGGTAAAGACTTAATTTACCTAAGTTTCATTTTCTTTAAAAATAAAGGTAGATTGAAATATTTGAGAGACAGAACCTGGTCGTCATAGTAGGAGGTGCAATCTTCTGTGCAGGCATGGTGTTGTACGCTTCAAAACGTGCAAAGAAGTTGTTGAGTTCATTCAGCAAAGAGATGTCACTGTCAGAAGTCTGATGGAGGCTTGTAATCCATGATGGTCTGGATTCCCCACCACAATCTCCTTGTGTCTCTGCTGTCTCGGAAGTTATGGGCTATCCTTTTGGCATACTGTTTTTTGGCCTTTCTGATGCCCCGGGACAGATTGGCCCTAGGTTTTCTCAGGCAAAATGATCCATTCAATTATCAAAATCATGTAAAATTTGTTCTATTCCAGGAAATACCCTGCGTCACAAGGTTCTGACCAGCAGATGTCAGTATGTCCTCCTTTGACTGATGTGCAAATAATTCTGAAAGAAGCGACTCAACTCTCATCAACCAATCAGCATTGCGAGAGGGATGCAGAACATTTGTAATATTAAATGCCACATATTGTTATTAGAGGGCAGAGGCCCATCCACTCTAATAATAATATGTAGCAGCTTCACTCATCACAGCTGGTGACTGATGGGCCTCTGTGTTCAGCTTCCCATGGGATGGCTATGTTGGATGGTGTTGGTGATGTGTGTGTTCCTCCACACCATCTGTGTGATGGTGTGGAATGATCCACGGAGTCTGGTGGCGTGAGACTCTCACTCACTCTTCGCCCATGTGAAGCACTCTTACCATAGCGAGATGCTGCTTTCACAGACAGCAGTGAAGATCAACAGTGAAGGCTTCGCTCCGTGTGTGACAGGTGGGCATCAGTGCAGCTCCTCACGGGATCACTGACTCACGTTCGGGAGCTGTTGTGCTGAGAGCCAGTGTGAACCACTTGTCTGGTTGGTGTTTGATGCTGGTCCTCTTGGGATTCGACCTCATCGAGGATCAGCTCCAGGTAAAGTAAATACGGTCCAAGTTACATGTCGAAGAGGACACTTTTATCATAATGCAAAGAAGTTACTGTAACATTTCGTTAAATCCTGGAAATATTTTACAGTCCACTTTTAGAAAATAAACTTTCTTAATCTTACAACGCATTCTCACGAGTTTATTTTACTTGTTCACTAAAAATATTTAACACTACACATACATTAATCACTGGAAAATTTTTTAATTTTTTACATTTTGTCTGGAAGTCATGAACATTTTCTGTGGTTGAAATGATGGTGGTGGAAATTGGGTGCAATAGGGTTACTCTTTATTTTTAGTTGTTATCGTGTAATTATACATTTAGGTACTGAGTAATAATAGTTAACTACATGTATAGCATTAGGATTATGGCTTGGTTTGGGGTTAATTGTATCAAATTGCGCACAAATAATCATGTATTGTATGTAACAAGGACACTGTAAATTAAAGTGTTACTAATACTAGCAGTGCAACAGAAGTTGTAAGTTTAAGCAGAACAGACTAAGTGGAGCAGTGTTACAGGACAGCACTGATGGACTGATTTACTGTCTTGTGAGATAAATGTGACCAGATTCCTGAAATAAAAATTCAGTGGTCAAAATGTATTAACTTGTTATTTTATATTAAATTAAAAAAAAATAAAAGTGTAATTATAACAAAATTAGAATATTTTGTACATTTTGTCCTTTCACACAAAGTATGCCCTTTCTGCAAATGTTGCAAGTGTAACTGTTTAGTTTATTTATTTTTTTCATAGCGGGGTGTACTTTTGACATGAGGTTGTCAAAGTACAGAGCGAAAGCATCCAAATGCACACACAAATTCAATGTCACAGACAAAGATAAAAAAATTTACAAAAATATAAAAACAGGAAATCGTGGATTTAATCCAGACAAGGAAACAAGATCCACGGAACACAAAAAGAAAAAAACAGAGCATCCGGCTGAAGTCATTTCAGCTCCACTTCAGCGGAAATGATGTGCCTGAAGACCACTTTAGCGGAGATGATGTGCCTGAAGACCACTTCAGCGGAGATGACGTGACTGAAGACCACTTCAGCGGAGATGACGTGACTGAAGACCACTTCAGCGGAGATGACGTGCCTGAAGACCACTTCAGTGGAGAGACCACTTCAGTGTAGATGACATGCCAGAAGACCTCTTCAGCGAAGATGACGTAAATGAAGACCATTTTAGCACCGATGATGTGACTGAAGACCACTTCAGTGGAGAGGAGATGACATGACTGAAGACCACTTCAGCGGAGATGACGTGCCTGAAGACCACTTCAGCGGAGATGACGTGACTGAAGACCACTTCAGCGGAGATGACGTGCCTGAAGACCACTTCAGCGGAGATGACGTGCCTGAAGACCACTTCAGCGGAGATGACGTGACTGAAGACCACTTCAGCGGAGATGACGTGTCTGAAGACCACTTCAGCGGAAATGACGTGGGAAATGACATGTCTGAAGACCACTTCAGAGGACATGACGTGACTGAACACCACTTCAGCGGAGATGACGTGCCTGAAGACCACTTCAGCGGAGATGATGTGCCTGAAGACTACTTCAGCGGAGATGACGTGTCTGACCACTTCAGCGGAGATGACGTGGGACATGACGTGTCTGAAGACCACTTCAGAGGACATGACGTGACTAAAGACTACTTCAGCTGAGATGACGTGACTGAAGACCACTTCAGCGGAGATGATGTGCCTGAAGACCACTTCAGTGGAGATGACGTGTCTGAAGACCACTTCAGCGGAGATGACGTGGGACATGACGTGTCTGAAGACCACTTCAGAGGACATGACGTGACTGAAGACCACTTCAGCGGAGATAACGTGGGACATGACGTGTCTGAAGACCACTTCAGAGGACATGATGTGACTGAAGACCACTTTAGCGGAGATGACGTGCCTAAAGACCACTTCAGCGGAGATGATGTGCCTGAAGACCACTTCAGCGGAGATGACGTGTTTCTGAAGACCACTTCAGCGGAGATGACGTGGGACATGACATGTCTGAAGACCACTTCAGAGGACATGACGTGACTGAACACCACTTCAGCGGAGATGACGTGACTGAAGACCACTTCAGCGGAGATGATGTGCCTGAAGACCACTTCAGCGGAGATGACGTGTCTGAAGACCACTTCAGCGGAGATGACGTGGGACATGACGTGTCTGAAGACCACTTCAGAGGACATGACGTGACTGAAGACCACTTCAGCGGAGATGACGTGCCTGAAGACCACTTCAGCGGAGATGATGTGCCTGAAGACCACTTCAGCAGAGATGACGTGTCTGAAGACCACTTCAGCGGAGATAACGTGGGACATGACGTGTCTGAAGACCACTTCAGCGGAGATGACGTGACTGAAGACCACTTCAGCGGAGATGATGTGCCTGAAGACCACTTCAGCGGAGATGACGTGACTGAAGACTACTTCAGCGGAGATGACGTGGGCCATGACGTGTCTGAAGACCACTTCAGCAGAGATGACGTGACTGAAGACCACTTCAGAGGAGATGACGTGACTGAAGACCACTTCAGCGGAGATGACGTGTCTGAAGACCACTTCAGCGGAGATGACGTGACTGAAGACCACTTCAGAGGAGATGACGTGACTGAAGACCACTTTAGCGGAGATGACGTGACTGAAGACCACTTCAGAGGAGATGACGTGACTGAAGACCACTTTAGCGGAGATGACGTGACTGAAGACCACTTCAGAGGAGATGACGTGACTGAAGACCACTTCAGCGGAGATGACGTGACTGAAGACCACTTTAGCGGAGATGACGTGACTGAAGACCACTTCAGAGGAGATGACGTGACTGAAGACCACTTCAGAGGAGATGACGTGACTGAAGACCACTTCAGCGGAGATGACGTGACTGAAGACCACTTCAGAGGAGATGACGTGACTGAAGACCACTTCAGCAGAGATGACGGGACTGAAGACCACTTCAGTGGAGAGACCACTTCAGTGTAGATGACATGCCAGAAGACCTCTTCAGCGAAGATGACGTAAATGAAGACCATTTTAGCACCGATGATGTGACTGAAGACCACTTCAGCGGAGAGGAGATGACATGACTGAAGACCACTTCAGCGGAGATGACGTGACTGAAGACCACTTCAGCGGAGATGACGTGACTGAAGACCACTTCAGCGGAGATGACGTGACTGAAGACCACTTCAGAGGAGATGACGTGACTGAAGACCACTTCAGCAGAGATGACGGGACTGGCAACCTTTGGCCAAGAATCAGTGGGAATCTTTTACGAGCATTTACAAAATCTGTCTCAGACAGCCAAAACATGACCAAAATCATACAATGGAGCCCGATTTTATAAAAAGAAAGAAAAGAAAAAAAACCAAGTGTGCACCTTGAGACAAATTTGCTTTCAGCCAAGACAACTCAAACATGCATTTTAGTCTGGGACTAGGCTTGCCTTGTCTCTCTAGCTATGAAACATTTTTACCCGTGTTAAAAACACTTTATTTTGGTGTCCAATAAACTGACACAATAGGTTTTGAAGCATGATGTAGTTTCATGGTTTCTTGTATTTATCTTTTAGTTTTTTATTGTATTAATTTATCTTATAATTGTAACCACATATTATTACATTATTTAATTCTTTTTATTGATTTATTTTACTGTTGAGGATCCGTGTGATTATTTTAAAGGAAATAATATGAGTTGCTACAGCGCGTGTTTGTTGACAATCCTGTGGATCATAAGCTCAGGAGTCACGAAGGTAATGACGCTTATTTAGCGCGAGAGGGCGCGGTTTACTCGTTTTTATTCTATTCAGAAACTATTACATGAGACGCCTCGAACCACCGTCTCTTAGGTTTGAGAGTATCATGTTTGAATTCAAGATGAATTCTATTTTTTTTTTTACTAGAAAAGGTGTTTACTAAAAGGTAAACACCTTTTAGTAGCCTATCATTAAAAAAATTGTGATAGCTTACATTGCTGTGAAATCTTGATTTGTACATACACTATTAAACGTAGGAATCAATTAATATTTAAAAAGTTATCACGTTCGGACTGAAACAATGTACGTTTACTTGGTTATCTATATAGACTCGTCTTTTTTATACACTGTATGTCAACATTTAAAATGGATTGTCAAAGTTGTCCTGAGACATTTTGATCAAAATGAATGTATAACTTTGATGAAAGGTTTTGATCCATTTCAAATGTTGAATTCTGTAGCTATATCAAATAGGATCCATACGGCTTTTGAAGAAAAAAAAAATGTTTTTTTTTTAAACTAATCATTTAGATATATCCTAATAAGAAAAACCTATTGAGAGATATACTGACAATGAATATGCATTGTATGTAAGTACTCTGCTCTACTATTATAAAGATTTCATTGATTTACATCTGAATTTCATTTTACTTTTGACCATAGCAACTGCAGCAAATTGCATATTTTTGCTCAGTTCGGGCCTCTGAATAATATTAAGGTGTATTTTTTTTCTTCTCACGTCCTCCAGATACACACTATATATAAGCCTTAAGAGTGATGTATCAATTATGATTCTTAATAAATAAAAAACATTAGATTTTGCCTGAAAGTTCAAATGTTCTATTAAAAAATTATGACTATTATTTCATATTTCATATGTCAGGCTTTAGTGACAAGACAACCCACAGGATGTGTGGAGCTTCTTTTTGCATCATTATTTGCATTATGCAATGGAAAGTAAACCGTTGGTCACGTGATCACATAAAGCATAAAAACGTTTTTATTATATTGCAGAACTATTTGTAAAGACCTTCTATTTACTAAATACATAGAGTTGTGTAGGCCTATGATGCACATCAGTTCTGGGAAAAATGCATCCTTGTAAATATGTTTACAAGCATGAAAGACATGCATCGTCTTTGTCTTTAATGCAAAACATGTTATTTGATTCATTTTCACACGTTGAGGTCTCGTGTCCCTCAGATGACGTCAGCGGTCTGGCCTCGGTCCTGCTACAGTGCCTGCCGGAACTTCCTCATTGTGGGGATGTTGGCCAAGAAGGCCGTCTCTGAACTCTCCGCCTGTCCACATCCAAGTCCGGTGGTCTCAGCACATCCCGACCGCCTTGTGCTTTCCCGGTTTTATCGTGGATTCCGAAATAGAGGCCATGACAGCTGAGGGATCTGACATGGCAACCATGACGGCTGTGACCCGTGGGGGCCCAAACTCCGTGACCACCATATCTATCTAGAGACCACCGTTAAGGGGGAATCACATCTCTGAAGGGTGTAATATAGGAATTCACTCAGGGATCCTCGAGGACTATCACAGATAAATCTACAAAATGTAGATTGCAATGGTAAACCCAGTCCTATAAATATGAAGGTCTCTGGAGTATTATTGAGTTGGGGGTTAAAGTCATCGGATAGAGGCGTTTGTCTGCAGACAAAGGGTCTTTCAATCCCTTTCAGGTTCCAGAGGTGTGAACATCTGCACGTTACAGTCTTTGAGGCTGGAGAGGGTGTGAGATCTCGAACACCAAAGCCTTAATACTTATAGCAAAGACGTGCCAATAAAGTCACTCCTACGTCTCGCTATTCTCAACATATTTGTCAGAAGCCTTAATACTGGGCATAGAACCTCTCAAGATGTTTACTTGCCATCCTGTCTGTCTTCAAGAGCGCCGAGCTCAAAACAACTGGACTGTAAGACACAGTTGCTTTAGCAAGAGAGAGGAGCTGGATTCAGCACAATACGGTGGAGCCTGTCTGCGCCGAGCAGTGACTTGCACCATTGTTGCTGTGGTAGATAGACTGATAGATGTGTTGGACACTGGCACTTGGTGTGAAATTGTGTGTGAAGTTTAATCTGATGTATAGTGAGCAGGCAAGACAAAAGTACTCAAAAAGTACACTAAATGCATATCAAAGGGATAGTTCACCCAAAAAGGAAAATTCTGTCATCAATTACTCACTCTAAACCTGTTTGATTGGTTTCTTTCTTCTTGTTTGACACTGTCTGACCTATAGAAATTGGGGACCAAAACAACATTTTTTAAATATCTAATTTTGTGCAAAGAAACAAAAGTCATACAGGTTTTAAATGACACGAGGATGAGTAAATGATGACACGGGTATTCTTTATTCTTTAAGCCTAACAAGTTTTTTTTTTTTTTTTTACTTTTTTTTCATTAAATCTGTAAATCTCTGCTGATTTTGATTAAAATTCCAGATTGGACATATGAAGTTGGGAAAGAAACACAAAATGTTTAACAGTGTGGCTATTGTTAATACTAAAACTATTTAGAAAAGCATGTTCTTTAAAATAGAGCTGAAATAAAAAAAAATTTTTTTTAAATATTAGATGAAAAACATAGAAAGTTGCAAACAGAAATTTTGCTTGCACAATGTAAAAAAAAAATCATGATTTGTTATCCTAAAGTTTTTCCTCTGTCAAATCAACAAATCATTTATGTGGTTCAGATAACATAATATTTTGAGTTTCTGATTATTAAATCAATCTCATTCATTTTATTAACTCAATTTTTCAATTTCATTGAACTTAAAGTTTTAAGGCAAGCAGGTTACTTCATTTTTTTAAGTTAAACCAACAATATTTTTTACAGTGATCTAAAACTGCAAAAACTAGCTAAACATTTTTAGAAAACAAATAAAAATTGCACAAAAGCTAAATTAATAAAACTTAACTTGACTAAAATTACAAGATTAAAAATAATCCATAATTCAAAACATTAAGAAATACTTAATAATACAAAAAAATAACAGTTTTGTCTAAAAGAAAAAAGGAATCAAAATTGCATATAGGCCAAAAATAAAACTGCAACACATTTAGCACTTCTTCTTTTTTTTTTTCGTTACCAAGTAAATTGTCTTTTTGTTAACACAAGAATGTATGCATATAGATACTGAATGCAAAAAAAAAAAACAACCAAAAAAACTAGTGACTGGTTAGTCAAGAAGGATTCTTCTAATGTCTCATATCTGTCCTTCCTGCAACTGTCTTCAAACGTTTGTTCCTTTTTCTTTCATCACTCACCCCTTCAGACTTGCTGGCTGCAGGCGTGAGAAACGTTTCCTCCACTAGCCTTCAGGCCAGAGCTGTAGTTCCTGCGGTTCCTGTGACCAGAGTGTCAGGGGTGTCAATGTTCCCACATAAGGCTGCACTGTAAATGTAAATGACAGTATGTGAGTGACTGGCAGATTGGTGTTGAGTTCTTTGATGCTGAGCGACCCCCTTCATCAAGCATCATATGAAATCGTCATCTATAGTAGATGGATGAACAGCACATCCCTGGGACAAACAAAAGTGCACAAAAACCTATTTGACCCTGGTCTATACACATCTATATCTACAGTCTACTGTGTCTAAAGTCTAAAGTGGACCATCAAAAAATGAAAAGTGTAAGCCTTGTTTTTTCTTCCAGTTTAAGTCGATGTGCCAAGTAATCATGTTGGCTTTTTTATACTTTATAACTGAATAATTGTAAGTGTTTTCACAATGAACCGATTTATGCTAATTCAAAGCAATTTGAAAAAATCGATTTTGAAAAGATGATTGTTTAAATCAAATCAAATTGACGCAAATGCATGGTTAACAATAAAATATGCCCCTATTACTAATATGCATTACATTCAGTTTATTAATTTATGTTTTTCAAATGGATTGCAATCAAACGAAATGCAGAAATCGTAAATTGAGGCCTAAATATATATATTTGAGAGCCTTTTCAATAAATAATGCAAAAATAATTTTTGCTTTTTGTTGTTTTTAGTAAATTTTCTATGAATTAAATTTTATTTTAATTATTTTTCATTCTTAAAAAGGCCTTTATATTGCATCTACAACAACAAAAAATTTTTTTTAATGCAGATGTTTAAATCAGCAGACTAATTTGCATGAAAATATATAGGCTACTTCTAATCTGAATCTGACATCATTTTTGTTATAATTTTTCCTCATTTTTTCCCCTTTGTATCAGAACAGCATTATTTTCATTTAAAGATTTAAGATTTTCAGATTTTCTGGTCTCAGACTTTTGGACCCCATGCACTGCCATACTCTCCAGATAACATCAACCATTTCAAACACATGGACCACTATATGCTCGGAAACAATACATTGACTTTCAGTGGTCATTACATGGGTATCTCAATGGATAAATATGTTATGTTAGCAATTGCATAAAGAAATACTAATGCACAGGTTGTAAAAAACAACAAAACCCCAAATATTCATTGCAACTCAAGTATAGACAATACAGTCAGTCATCAACCACACGGAAGACTCACAGTTTCTGCAGGGGCTCAGAACAAAGGCAGGTGCAGTTTGGAAACAAGGTGAGGCAGAGGAAGGGTCTGTGAGCGTCAGGAATAGGAGGGGTGCTTGACTAGCATCGCATTGGATGTGGAGGCAGGAAGGTGTGAGTGTATGTCTACTGAGCGGCGCGAGCGAGCGTCAGTCCGTCAGTCACCTGCCGCCCGCCTGCCCTCATTGTTTCTGCGCTCATGGACTAGTGGAGTAGTTTGGCACATGACGGAGAGCAACGGGAGCCACAATTGTTGTTTTTTCCAAGCCAAAGGACTAACGTTATCTACCTCGCTGCCTTGTTAGAGTAGCAGAAGAAGCGTTCGTTATTTATGTTTATTTATACTTATTTATAACCCTCGCGTTTCGTATCTACACTGCACTGAATTTCGCACCCCAATGCTTTTACATCAGTTCGTGAATGGGACGTTGGAAACGATGTATCCCAGTATTCAGAAAGACACGACTTTCACCAAGATCTTCGTCGGCGGTCTGCCGTATCACACCACGGACGCGTCGCTCCGCAAATACTTCGAGACTTTCGGCGACATCGATGAAGCCGTGGTAATAACGGACCGACAAACGGGGAAATCCAGAGGATATGGCTTTGTAAGTACAATTTCGTGTGTCAGTTCTGTTGTTGCTGCCTTGGCTATAGCTAACTCTCAAAAGCTTGTCAAATTAAACGCGAAGAACAACACTTTGCCTTTGTTGGGTTTCACTCCGTTCAAATTTTACTCTGCACAACGTTTAACTAGGCTATGTGTACTATATTGGCAGTGTTAGGTATTGTCATGGAAATTTATAAAACTCATTTTATAGGAATAAACGCGACTTTGAGCTGTTGTGGACCGCAGTTGTGCTTGAGCGGTTGCTGTGGACCGATTCTTGAATCAATTGTTCTTCAGAGTCGGATTGTTTCAACGTAGACTGGTCAAAGAGACATGTCCGACTCGTAATGAACTCGAGTGAGCTTTTTATAAATACACTACAAAATAGAGTTGCTTTTAATTGCTAAATTTCATTTTAAAAATAACGGACCATGTTATTACATTAAAGAATCGCTGAATGAGTCATTTAAACCGGCTCTTTGAAACGAACTATCTAAAAGAACCGATTCAAAGAACGTGTCGCTCGTGCGCGTGCGGTCTCTAGGTGACAATGCAACCGTCGCGTGCCGTTGGCTTGGCTCATGTCTTTTGTTACAGTTCTAAGGAAAACAAAAACCAGCGTAGATCTACTACACCCAGTGGCGGCTCCTGCAAAATCTCTCAGGGGGGGGGGGGGGAATATTTGGATGATTGATAAGGACAAGGCCCACCCATGCAATGGATAAATTAAAAGCTTAAGCATGTAAAGTCAACTTCACTTTAATATTAATGACTAATAAAGTGACTTAATAACAATAAATCTTCTTGTTTCTATACTCACTATTATTACACTTATTACATCACATTAAAGAGATTCGGCACACAAATTAAGATATTTTTGATTATATCTAAGAGCTGGATCACTCCTCCATACACAGCAAATTCTGTTTTTTGGAAGAAACTCCGTTAGTTAAAATCAACTCAATCTGAGTGTACATGTGAGACCATCAAATAGACTTCAGCGCAGAGTTAAAATAACTCTGCTCTTGGAGTTAAATTTAACACTTTTTCAGAGTTAAAATTTATGGAGTTAAAATAACCTACGGAGCGTAAATGTAACTCTAAAAATAATTATATGAACTCATTACCAGTGTTAAAAAGTAACACTTAAAAAATATTTAGTTTAACACTTCTTAGAGTTAACATTTATTTAACACAATATAATGTTTTGTGTGGAAATTACTACACTGAACACCATATTCGTGATTTACTGCCTTTATTTCAGCAAATCCATTTGGTTCAGATTTGAGGAGGAGTAACCTTCAACCGGTTGTCTGCAGGACAGTCGTATATGAAGATCACAAAAACAACAGTATGAGGCATAATCTAGCACCATTCATTGAGAATGCAAAAATATATTAGCTGAAAATCACGCACATGTGATCGCCTAACGTTATAGCCTAACGTTATAGCTGTTACAATTCAAATCATTGCAGGCTTACACGGCACAACTATCTTATTTTCCAGGGTAACGTTAGACACTGCAATTGTGTAACCACGTATGCCTGTAATGCATTGATGCATCAATTTCACGGTAAAACACTCATTTTCAGAAACACGGTGAATGGAAAGACGGTTAGCTAATGTTAACTCGTTTACATCGACAAAAACCCCACGCAAATAGCCATTTCAAAATTTGAAACAAGTAGCGCTAAACAAACGTTCAACAGCAAGTTTGTCGTAATCGTTGACGTTAGTAAACAGTATAACTAGCCTATAACGTAACAGCAACGCGATGACCAAACGTGTTTGTCAGAAAATATAGAACATTTTAAAATAGTTTTATATACTCTTTTACCTACCTCACGACGAGGCACATAAGTCCATTATTCCTTTATCCAGCGGCAGGGTCGTGTCGTGGCACATTTCTCAAAAATAACTCCAGGTGTAGCTAGTGTTAAACCAAAACACACTCCTGAACACCAATGAATGAACTCCAAAATACAACACAGCCGGGGGGTATCCAATAACAAACAAAGTGTAGTCAGAGTTAAAAAAAATAACTCAAAAGTAACTCTTTTTTGCCTAACTCATGATTTTTCAACTCCTGAAATTTGCTGTGTAGGCTTCTAAAGGACTGTGTACGCCATGGCGTTGTTCAAGTTCAACTGTCTGTAGTAGCCACAACTCGCGAGATGTCCCAACAGTCTCTCTCGCTCTCGCTTTTTTTTTTTAAATCAATTTGATAAAGATAATTAAGTAGTGTTTCATTTTTTATTGTTGCTGTTTGAATTCAAAATTGTTTTAAAATATTATTTTTCACTTAATATTAAAGATTTTTAATAGTGTAACCACCAATCGCTGCACAAGTTAAGGATACGTATGATGATGTAAGCACGTTAGTGCGAGCCCTCCCGGAACCCATAGAGAATGCGTTGCAACTTGCAGTGCCTGCAGTTCGAAAAAAAAACATCTTTGAATGTAAGTCTATGGGAACACTCTGGGCGATTTTCAGCCAGAGTGAAATCGCCCAAAAAGAGGCGGTACTCCACAGAACGTGACATGACGCTGATTGGACTATAGTGATGGCTAGCGTAGATTGTGAGTGTGATTCACACTTTGGTGGTGCGTCGCCCAATCGCCCCAATGAAGAAACCGCCCCTGACTACACCACAGTATAAACTCCATCAGCAGCTCAATTAACTGCGTGTTTGAGCTCCAACATGGCTCTAAATGACCGTGAAGCATATCCTAGTAACAAATGATGATTTGTAGGCTTAGAATGAGCCCTTTTTAATAGGCCTAAATGTTTTTCCACCTAGTCCGATTTGGTCCTGAAGGATCTTAAATGTAATCCTTAGATATCGAGAGCTTTTCGGGGGCACAATATGTTCTTACATTGCATTGCTCCACAAGTGTGTGTGTGGGTGTGATGTTGTTGAGTCACACGTGGGACCATAAGTGGATTATTTCTAAAAAAGCATGTCATCAATTATCTTCTTATAGCCTCTTGGGTGAAGTTTGAGAGCAGAGTCTCAGATTTCTGGCAAGTGCCTTGGCCCCTTTCAAATACTCCTTTTAAGCTTTGTAAGTGCAAAGCATAGTCCGGTCCAAGGGTTTATCTGCTGTGATATGCTGCAAAGCCAACCTCTGCTCACTTAATATGGAGGTTATTATGAGGGGCCCAGAGGAACGGCCCTAATGACAGTTTGTTCAGCCAAGCACATCTGACTTCATTTATAACATCAAATGAGTGGCTTTCCCCTGTCACTGCATTATTTTCTTTCACTGTGCCTCTTTGCATATATGCAAGCCCCAAAATTGAAGTTTTTTGTTTTTTAGAGTGAATGTCTTACGGTTATCTATTAGCAATGTGCTCCAAAGCAATGACAAAATTCACATTAAGACGATTCAAAACTTACAGTCTCACTTCCTCTAATAGAGTGCCGAAGTTACGACGTCACTCTGTAGGCCAAAACGCGGAAGCGAGTTAGCATTTTAGCACTACCGGATCCCTCGCTCTAAAGCCTATGGGATTTTTGAATGGGTTTTTGCTAAATAGGCTGAAATAAGGTCTGTGGTGAACAAAGCGTGTGGTTGTGTTTTTTAAAATCTTTATATAAGCTTCAAAATGTATACATTTTGGATTAACTTGTAAAGATTATCTTGATAGACAAAACACAACTCTCTGTACACAGATCTTATTTTTTGCGATTTTCCAAAAGTCCATGCGCCGCTATAGCTTCCGAGTTGTCCTACAAAGTGACGTCATCACTTCGGCACTCTACTGTATATGGGTCAATGATTTTGATGACCTCACTCTGCACTTCAACTTCTCATCAGATTTACTGTCCAATCAAATGCTCTCTAGAATCTGAAGCTCCGCCCCCTACATGATAAATAGATGCTGAACCTGGGCTGAAATCTGTCACTTGTTCACACAATTTAACGATTTGGATAGTGTAATGCGGAAACTGCGGCTTTACTGAGCTCGCTGGCTCTGGCCGAGCACAAAACACGAAAACGAAACACCATTGGCTATTGTTAAAAGGGGGAGGAGCTGTTCGATATGCCCCGCCCTGTCTTGCTGTTTCAGTAGAAATTACACATCAACACATTCAATAACGCTACGCGTTTAAAGGGACTTAATGGACCTTTTAGTATGTATGGATGGACCATGGTAAATTGGTGTTATTGTGTGTAATATTAGGCTACCATGAAATGTAATATAATAAAATAATGCAATGGTTTGGTATGGAATTTCTTAAAAGAACACAATAATCAATTCACGTTATCATCTTGTTTATTACGTTTACATCAACTCTAGGATGCAAATTGTATTATTTTATTTAAAAAATATAATTATCTAAACGTTTTAAAAGTTATTTTTCTTTACATTTTTTTTAATAGTGCAAAAAAACCTTTCCGGACCTATCTTCTACATTTGATAAAAGTAAAACGTAATTTCTTGATTTGTTTTCTTTTGTTTTTTGGGGGGATGAAATATGATCTGCACGGGTTGTGAGTTTCTCTACTAGCGTCTGTGTTCACTAGCACAGAACTGTATCGTGGTTTGCCTTCAAAAGCAGTTGGAAAGCACAGATAAGGCCGCAGAGTTTCACTTCATGATTTTTCTTCTTTTTTTTAGGGGCACTGTATCTGCTAAGGTGTAAACATGCACATTAAATAAACCAAGGGTGTGAGAAAGGGAAATAAATAAAAGACACTTTATGAGAGTGAGTGTTCACGACAGTCGTGAATGATATAGTCTTTAATATGCTGGCTGATACACTCCCTGTGTGGGAGGCCTCGTCTTGATATTCTGGAATAAGAAAAAAAAACGAGTGAGGGTTACCAGAAGATTACAACACAGCCCTAATGTTTTCCCATCACACTCACTGAAGCTTGTCACCTCATTTGCTAGCTGTGTTTTGTGACTACTGAGATAATAACATGGTGGCAGCTATGAGTGTGTGTGTGTTTGTTTTGTTCGTGTTCAGACTGAGACGCACTCCACACAAGGGCACTACAGAAATGAAGCGTACTCTCTGGTGTTTACCTGACAGAAACCAGATCCCACGAAATCTCTTCCTAACCGCTCCGCTACTGCTCTGGCTGTATTTCTAGTTTCACCAGCCCTAGGGAACACAGCTGCCACTGGGTCTCCACAGGGTGGGGCACGCCTGTGTGTGTGTGTGTGTTAATATTGCAGCCTGCTGGAAGTGTGTTTGTCACAGAGACCCGAGCTGTGAAAACAAGTCAGCAGTTGAGGCTGCTTAACCGCCTCACTAAAACACCCAAACACAATTTCTACTTAATTCTTTGTATTAAGTTTAGGTATTAATAATAACACACTTGTGCTTTTAAGATGAATTCAGCAAAGAGTTAAATGTGGTTTAGTCTAAGGCAGCAATAGATGGCAGTAGTAGAAGAATACACATCAGTTGATCAGATGAACTGCATTGGACTCAATATGTATCATGTCGGCTTATTTTTCCATATAGCACTATGAAATCATTTCTAAGAGGTTATTCTTTCTTTTTAATTCAGTTAAAGTTTATTTGTATTGCTCTTTTCAACACAGACATTGTTTCAAAGCGGCTTAACAGACAATGCATGTTTCACTGTTGCAATAAGTATTCCTTTATCACAATACTTATAGATTTGGGACACTTTTTATTAAAGTTTAAGGATGACATAATATGTTATTAAGGCATCTTCAATTCAATTAAATATGAATTTATGAGGGTTATAAGTGGGTTTATACATTTAGGAAGAAATAACAGTGAGACAATGGAAAATAAAAACAAAATGCAAAATAATTACATTTCTTTTTTTTATTTCGAAAAACAAGGTTACGAGTATATATATATATGTGTGTGTGTGTGTGTGTGTGTGTGTGTGTGTGTGTGTGTGTGTATTTTATTGATCCATCCATCTCTTTCTATATATATATATATATATATATATATATCAAAGTGGATCAAAACCTTTCATCAAAGTTATACATGAATTTTGAACAATATCCGGTTCAAACTTTTTTTGATCTACTTAAAATGTTGACTATATAAAATCAATCACATTTTTCTGTAATTAATTAGCATACAATTAATTGCACCTAACATTAAATTTGGAATGTATTTTTATATTGTAACACATAATACACACATTGAATCTGCAAATGAATGTAGAAACAAAATAAAGTTGGTAAATTCTAAAAATATATTTTTTCTTTATTGTTTTTAACCCATGTAACCTTTACATAAGTAGTATCTTTTCTTTACGTATTTTAATAAATAAGGTTGTTGTTGAAGCCAACATTTTACATACCAGTGAAATAAATCAAGCACAAATAAATACATTTGAACAAAGATACAAATGAAATAAAACATTGCTTTAAGATTTCCAGGTATGTCTGACAGTATTCAGGTGAGAAATACTACAGAAATTGACTAAAGAAATCAAATGTAAAATAGCACTGCATAGTCTTCGCTGTATATATATATTAATCATTATTAAAGCTGCAAAAGTTATTCAATAAAGAGCAGTGAGTGCTTTTCTATTTTTCTTTTGTTGTTTGGTGAACATTAATGCCATAGACTGCGGCAGGTTTATTAGGCTGCTGTCACTTTAAGACACCCGTCCCATGATCTCCTCAGGTGTGCTGCGCAGGCATCAAAGTACCAGAGATTCACATACCCAGTCTGTTATTGTAGGAACATCAACTTTTTAATTTCACACCCCTAAAACATGATGCAGAACAAAACGAACTGTGATTACGTGAGACTAATGTTCTCCCAACTCGTTCATTTAAGGCTTTTTTAACTGCGCTTATGAGGATACTCATCAAAAACAAGCATTTTGACATCATTTTAATGTTTTTTTTCTGTCTATTCAAGTGCTTTAAGTCCAAGCCTATTCATGTGTAATACCAAATTTAGCATTTTAATCAACAGTACATTTTTTGTTAACCTTTTACATCATGTCTTGGAGTATCGCAGTAATATCGTATCGTGATATGTATCAAATCGTGACCTGAGGGTATCGTTACACCTCTAATAAACTTGTGTCTTAAAAATTTCTCTTTCCTTTTCAGGTCACAATGATAGATAAAAGCGCAGCCGAGAGAGCTTGTAAAGATCCCAACCCTATTATTGACGGACGCAAAGCTAATGTCAACCTGGCGTACCTCGGGGCCAAACCACGCAGTCCACTGACAGGTAAATACCAGACATGAGCCTTAAACTTCTGCAAATTACGGTACTTATCTTTTAAATACTCTGGTTAACTATAATTGTTCTGTCACCTTTAAAGGTGAGCGGTGTTCTTTATGTATCACAGAAATGCAAAAACCATGCCTGTTTTCAAACTGGTTTTCTGAACCCTCACCCTCTCTGCCATTGGTCTGTCAAACAGATAAGCCTCTCCCATTGGCTGAGACAGTGCTGCCATGTTGGGCTGATCGGGATATTTAAATGAACATTTCAGTGTTTTGAAAGTGATTTATTCTATTCTGCTGAATGAGAAATGATACACTACCCCTTTAAGAAATGAATCATAAAGTTGTTTGAAGTTCTTCTTCCCTTATACGGTAGAGTAATCGTTGCAGCTTTTTCCTGTTGACACTGATGTATGTTTTGTTTTCACCATAACATGCCCTCAGTATCATAGTGGTGTTTGTACCCAGCACAAATATACTACACAAACTCGCACTTATTTTAACAGTTTGTTTGATGGGTTATAAGGCTGTCTTCCTACATTTGCATCTTTGCATGTGTGTGAATGTGTTGGCAGAAAGTGATTTGCTGAACTCAGCATGTCTATCTGTACGTTTAACCTCCAACTTTGCATTTCTCTTTGGCTAATATGTCTGAAAAGAGGAAGGGTATTGTCAAGAGAACTTAAAGCACATACACCTGTCCTAACACACTGTATTCACACAGGAACAGAGGAGATTTCGGCCTCTGTTCTTGTTCTCATCCCAACATGTCTGAAACAGCAGTCCTCTCTCTCTCTCTCTCTCTCTCTCTCTCTCTCTCTCTCTCTCTCGCTCGCTCCTCTGCCGTTGTGACCAGACATGTACCTTTTTCATGCCCTTTTTTTGTATAAAGGTCAGTGATAATACTTATATTATTTCTAATTTTGGTTTACGTTCGTTAAAGGGGTGGTTCTGAATTTTGGACATCGGGCTTCATTTCCAAGTGAGCCTTAGTGTTATTAATCAGTGGAGACAGTTTTAAAAAATGTTCATCCAGTCGTCTGAGTTGCATAGTTCGCCGGTGCTTGGCTAGCGCGAGCCAGCAGTAACATTAGCATGCCATTAAAAACAGTTTTACCCACTCCACAGTACACCAAATGCAAATCAATTATAACGCCAGACTATCGATGTAAGTGTCTGTTGAGAAAATAATGTTAGAAATCAAACTATCCTTTTTATCGCATTGTAATAGTTATATTGTTTTACCTATATTTATTAGCAGTCTACAGCAGCGGCGGAGTGATATGAAGTTACCTAGGCGACAATCACGCAATTGTATTTACCTGCCGCTGACACTCATCACTACAGAAACAGAGTATAATTTATGATGTGTTGTGAGAAGCACGTCAAACAATTTTTAAAAGACTGTATCGTCTTATCTGAATGAGTTGTCAGGAAGGTTTTCCCATAGTTTTGGTGCAAATACTCTAGGCTGTGTGATATAATTTTCAAAAGTCTTATGAAGAAATACTCAGTATGGGTTTATGACCTTATTTCAGTGACCATTGTTTTTTCACAAACCACGCATAAACGTCATTATCCCAAAACTACAAAATTTTACATACATGCTGCTGACATATTATTGTAGCAGAGTTTGTGCTGAATACAGTGTAATAATACTTTAGCATTAAAAAAGTCACAAGTAATAGAAAAAAAAGCACACATGTCAGAGCATGTCAGAACACCTCCAGGACCCAGAAAACAGCTCAGACCCCTAAGGGTTAAGTAAAAAAAAAATGTATCTAATATTTTCAGCTTTGCTTCTATTTAAAGGAAACAGTTTGTAATTGCGTACGTTTTATTCAACACTTATGTTGAGTATACTTTGTTTTGACAAATTTTTAAATGATAAAAATTATTAAAAAACAAATCTGCTTTATCAATTATTTTCAAAACGTATGCCTATGGTGTAAAGCATTTACATCACCTAGACAATTCTGACTTTAACCTCCGCAAAAAGGGTCAAAATAAAATTCAATTTCTAAACTTTCCCCGGCCATTGAAAGAATTTAGTTTCGTTGAATGAAAGTTTTGTGAAAATGATCAAAAATGCAGGTTGGGAGGCTGGCAACCTGGGGAAAGATTTAAAAACATGCATAAGAAATCATCATAAGAAAGGTATCAAGCATTTTTAATGTATTTAATGTAAGTCACTGGCCCATGTTTAATGGACATCGAGATTTTTTGATACACATAGAGAAACACAAGTTGAATTATGTTCACCATAAGGTTTGTGTAACGGTTAAAGTGTGTTTATGCAAGTGTGTGTGTGTGTGTGTGTGTGTTGAACGGGCATCCAGGCGAGAGATGTTTCTGATCTGTGTCTGGGCAGATACACTGTTACGCTGGAGAACAGACAGCCTGGAGTTTTTCACATGAGCGACTTCATGAGAGCATACAGACAGGAAGAGAGGAAAAATAGAAAGAAAAAACAAAAGTACATATTGGGTGAATGGAGAGAATGTGTGCCAATTAACGCAGGGGTGTGTGTTTGTGGAGGACGCAGAACATGCATCATGAATGTCAAATACAGGGCAAGTAATAAAAATGGCTCTTAAGGACAAATGTCCAGAGAGGATAGTGAATTAATTCCATTCAATTTCTTCTATTTAACAAAGATTAACCTTAATTTACTGCCAAGATGTCTTTAGTGTTTGTGGGTTTTGGACTTGCAATGTGAGTCTATGGGGCAAGACATTTCAGAGGAGTTAAAAGCAGAAATATGCAGCTTGTATGTTTGTTATTGTCCTTATTAATGGTCAAACGATGTTGTCTTTTATGGCCAATGCTGAGCAGGGTGGCCGATGCCTGATGTATATGGTATCATGTAGTTTTAAAGTAACACATGCTGCAGTGAAATTTATTTAATGACATAATATTTAACGAATTAGAAATAAATTAAAAAACAAATAAATATTTTTAAAAATGTCTTATAATTTATAGTAAGACATAAGTATTAAAGAAAGTAAATAATAAAGATGCAGAAAGTGAGCTCTTGTATGTCTGTGCTCTGGTGCTGTCAAAATAAAAGTCCTGTTTGTGAGACTAATCAGACAGACAGTAAAACTAATCTGCCAGTGCTGAAGAAATGCTGTCTTATTGTATTCAGGTGAGTAATTTCAGTTGACTGGGATGATGAATCTCTGGTTATGTTTTTCATAACGACCCCGTTGTAGTGTCCTTGGGTTTTTATGTGGTCATCATGACAGATTTGATCACGCTAGTTTCATGTTTACACAAACGAGGATTAGATCTTGTGACTACGTTTCAAAAAACTCTGTATTTTAACAAGCCTTGCAATGTCCTGTCCCATAAACCTCCATTATAAGCTCTTTACTCTACAAACCATGTTTGTTCATTTTTACAAACTGGAGAATGAGGTGAAGGTATTTTCTGTGGTAATCGACAGTATGCCATTGAAAGAGCTTAGTTTCAAATCTGGATCATTCCTGTAAAGGCCATGACACGCCGGGTCGACGTCAAAGATGTCAGCTGCATCTCGACCAAAAACACACCAAAAGGACTAAAGGCGACTAGCACGTGTGTGTAAGTAAATATCTGTCTATATCAGCAGGTATCAACATTCGTCATTCAGAAAGGGAAATTGAAACTAGGACTGCCGATACACAAACTGTAAATAAAGTGATGCTTGCGTACCACTTTGAATATCAGTCATGCTGCTGGTCTTCACTAGAGGCGGCTCATGTTAAATATTGGCATGCTTAGATAAGATGACGTAAAATTATAACAGCCTTCGGTCCGTACCTTCTTGATTTCATCACTTTCACTTTTATTCCCATTTGTTAAACTGGACAGCCAATCAGTTCTCTCTCTCTCACTGACAGCGCCAACGGTGATTTAAAGGTCCCGTTCTTCTTCGTGATCCCATGTTTCAAACTTTAGTTGGTGTAAAATGTTGTTGTTAGAGTATAAATAATATCTGTCAAATTATAAATTATTACTATTATATTCTGTTGGATATTTTTTTTAACAGAAGTAGCCTCCATCGAACGGCCCGTTTGGACTACATCCCTCTACTTCCTTATTTAATGACGTCAGTTGAACAGTTTTTTGACTAACTCGCGCACTTCTTATAACTTACTGTGTTTACTCAGCTCTTACGGTGATTTTCATCTTTTGTGTGATGTACAATAAACTTTATTAAACTCATCAGTATGTTTGATCATCATTCGGACCTGGTCCGAAACAGCAGACTTGTAGGCTATTAATAAATAATGCATACATACAAGCAGATGAAAAATACGTTATAATAACCGTGATTAAATTACTAAACTATACCTGTTCCATCTCTATACAGCACTCTGACTCTGTTGGCATTATTGTCCGACTCGAAATGAACACCGTTACTGAGAGTTTCTGATATTATCATCATTCCGTGAGATGAAATTGTCCTGAGAGACCATGTCCATGAAGCTCCGCCCCCTCTGAGCTGCTTATTTGCATTTAAAGGGCACACACTAAAACAACGCGTTTTTCTGAGCCCCAAAAAAATGACAATTAAAACATGCTGTAACAAAAATATCTGTTGGGTATTTTGAGCTGAAACTTCACATACACATTCTGGGGACATCAGAGACTTATTTTACATCTTGTGAAAAGGGGCATAATACGGGACCTTTAACATGCTCAATCGGCCCAAAAATACCCCCGACAATGACAAAAACCTTAAAGGAATACTTCTCTCAAAAAGAAAAGTATTTACTCACCTTTCCAAACCTTGTATGCTGTTTATCAGTGAAACCCAAAAAAGGAAAGGGGATTTTGAAGAATCTTCAATAATTTTCTGATTCAAAACTATTTTCTATCCAAAAAGGACAAAAAAACCCTCTAAATTAGATTAAATTGGCTTATTTGATCTGCAGTTTAAGAAAATATGGATATTGACAGACTATAATGAACCATTGTTGTACTGAAAAAGCCAACCCGATCTCACGGGATTTCGTACGAATTTTACGAGGTGGCTAATTCGTAACAATTCGTACGACCTCACTCGTACGAATTAGTACGATTTTGCTAAATCGTACATATTTTACGAATTAGCCAATTCGTATGAATGACCTACCCCTGACCCCGCCCCTAAACATAACTGTCACGTGGGTTTAGACAAATCGTATGAATTCGGACGAGTGAGGTCGTATGAATTAGTACGAATTAGCCACTTTTGAATCACTCGTACGAGTTTCGTACGAATTTGTCGTGATATTGCGTACAAAAAGCCGATATTTTGTAATTGTAAGGAAATGGGGTCCAAAACAACTCTTTTTCACTAGACTATTTCCACTAAATGAAGAAAGTCCTACGGTTTGGAGTGGCATTGAACTTGTCAACTTTAACTGTCAAGGCGCTGGCCGTTGACTCTGTTGTTTGTCTGTGTTTGTCACAGGATACTCTTCTGGAGTACAGCAGGTTCATCCAGCCCTGATCCAGAGGCAGTATGGGTAAGCACTTCTTCTCATTCTGCTAATGTCAGGGTTGAGGGAGGGCCGTTTCTGCATAAACAACATGAAATCCTAGCCTGACCCCTTATAAAAAATAGTCCCGTCAAAACCGCAGTTTGATTTAGCCCAAAACTGTCAGTTTCTCCTAATCTGGCTTCTTCTGCTCACACACCCCGTTTCAGCTCCTCTGGCTCCCTGTAAACCTCAGATCTCAGGACGTGAGCTGTGAACGTCAGTGCAGCGTTCGTCATGTGTTTACAGTGCCGGCTGCTTTTCTCTCTGCGGTTTATTTTCATCTCTCTCTCTCTCTCTCTTCTACATTCTCTCTCATACTGTCAGTGACACTGTCTGGGTTTCTCACTTTTTAAGCTGTTCCCGTTTCTGTGTTTCCCTCTCGGTTTCTTTCTGTCAGTGTTTTTCTTTCTTTTTCTCTCTCTTCCCTATCCTGTTTGACCTGTTTGTCTGTCAGTTAGGTCACCACCTGCCTCAAGTCTGCCAACCAGCCAGGTGTTATGCAAAACAAACCTTCATCTCTCTCTTTCTTTGTCTTTCTCTCTGGATAGACACATCTTTCGTGTTCCCCATCCCACCCACACATACTCACAAACCATCTGAATCAACCTTTATCTTCAAGTACATTTTAAAGCAATACTTCATTAAAATAATGTCATTATTTACTCATATCATTCCAAATCTACAAGTTTTAGGTTTTTTTTCTACACAAAAATGAACTAATAGTGACAGTTTTTTTGGACTTTTATGGTACTTTTTTGTGTGTTTTTTTTTCTGTCTCTGGATAGAAAGAGCTGCATAATATTCTTAAAGCTACACTGTGTAACTCTTTTAGTTTATTCTTAGCTAAAAACACTTAGTTCTTTCAAAAATATATGTGCTCATTAATGTATATTTACTTTATTCAAGTAATAAAGTATTCTCGTGAGTGTATAATATGCCATTGAAAATACATACGGGTAAGGGGTTCTAATGTCGGTCGCCATGTTGACCCTCCATCTTGAAAGTACATTAGCCAAAGAGGGACATACCCGTTAATTCAAGCTTCGCCTTTCGCGTTTACGTTTGAGTTAACACTTATGGACGAGGTCGAACTGGAAGCCATGTTAATCTTGGACTACATTGGCCACCGTAGGAGTTAAAACGAAATCGGAATTGAGAGGAACAGAAACTAATGTTCACTAGATGGTCATATACCTTTTCACCGCTAGATGGGGTAAAAATCACACAGTGTAGCTTTAAGGAAAATACAGAAAAAAATAATAACAATAACACTAGTAATGATAATAATGATCTATATCGTGTTAATGTTTGAAGTCAGTAGGATTTTAAGAAATTAATACTTTTATTCAGCAAGGACACATTGAACTGATCAAAAGTGACAGTAAAGACGTTTATAATGTTACAAAAGATTTGTATTTCAGCTAAATGCTGTACTTTTTACTCATTAAAGAACTGTTTTCAACATTGATAACGATTTCTGAAGGATCATGTGACACTGAAGACTGGAGTAATGATCACAGGAATAAATTACATATTAAAATATATTTACAACTTCATTTTAAATTGAAATAATAATTCACGATATTACTATTTTTACTGTATTTTTATCAAATAAATGCAGCCTCTGTGAGCATAAGATATTTCTTTCAGCAACATTTTAAAAAATGTTGAACTTAAAAACCACAAACTTTTGAACAATAGTGTGTGTTTCTTGTTGTATTAAAACAAGTATTTGGTCACAGTGTCAACAAAAAAAAAACACACACATGTAAACAGACAGTCAATCTACAATCAAAATTCTTTTATCAGTTGTAAAATTCAATTCAATTAATTCGCTAGCTGAATTTTTCAGATGTCAGTGAGACAGCAGCTCTTGTAAATAACCAGCCTCTGTGTGTACAGAGCGAGATTTAGCAGTGTGTGCCTGTGCCGTATTTAAACAGTGTGTAAACATAGTTTAGCCTATTTGTCTTTTTTATGCTAAAGTCGAGGGTCTTGTCCATATCTGCGGGGTCTCTTTTTAAACTCGCTGTCTGGGGTTAGCCCTTGGTTTGAACAGGTGTCTTGTACCCATTGTGGGTCTGTTTGCATTGTGACTTAAAGGGACAGTTCACCCAAAAAAGATGAAAATACTGTCATCCTTCCCTAAACCCTGAAGTTGTTCTATGCCTTATAACGCTGTAAGGAAAACTTTTTTAAATCCCATTTGAAAAATACAACAAAACAAGTAAAGGTTGAGTAAATGATGAATTGACATTTTTTAACTATATCTTTAAGGTAACTAAGGACATTGTCTGATGATGTTGGCTGAGTATTCGCTCTGAACAGGTTTGAGATGTGCACTACTTAGTTAGCTTACTAGTTAGTGAGTTGTACATGGCTGGGTTGGCACTCTCGCCATCTGTTGGCTGAGTGTTGGTGTTGGGGCGTCCTGAGGTTGCAGGCTTTGGCAGGGTGCTAGAGATGGGGATTACGAATGTGGAGGGTGCTGCTAATAAACCCCTGTGGTTGGGGGTTGGGTGTTGGCAAACACACAGCATTGTGGGTGGTCTGCAGGTTTAGGGAGCTCTGCTGACGTAGCACAATGAGGATCAAACTACTTGAGCATCTGATATACACACACACACACACACGTCTCTCTTACACTGTAGGATTGTCACGTGCCCCAATTCTAACCGTGCATCCCAATGTCCGTACTATCCATCCTTAATAATATGTAAGATTAGGATAAGTGTTTCCCAAAGCAATGCAATTTTATGACGAAGTACGTCCTAAAGCTTGTCTACTCTTGTGATACACACTCAAAACTCTTTCTTCACAAAAAGGTGTGTAGTAAAAGTTGCCGAATTGGTACAAAGCATGATACAAGCCACTGACATTTGACCTTTATCTTTTTTTCTTTTTCTTTTTTGGTGACATTTACACTACTGTACCGGCAAGCAGTCATGTGACATTGTTGATAATCTTGTATTTATGGTTTTATTTTCACTTAATCATATACAGCCATTTAAACGTTTGTGGTCTTTAAGATTTAAAAAAAAAAAAATGTTTGTGATAGAAGTCTTTCCAAGGCTGTATTTATTTGATTAAAAAAATATATATTAAACATAATAATAATACCATGAAATATTATCACAATTTAAAATAGCTGTTTTTTATTGTAATACATTTTAAAATGTAATTTATTCCTGTCATCAAAGCATCATCCAGTCTTCAGTGTCACATTATCCTTCAGAAATCATTCTAATATGATAACATGAATTATTATAACTATTATCAATGTTGAAAACAGTTGTGCTGCTTACTATTTTAATGCAGAAACCAACATATATCTTCTGGATTCTAGGATGAATAGTGTTCAAAAGAACAGCATTATGTGAAATACAAATCTTTTGTTACATTATAAATGTCTTTTCTGACACTTTTAATCAATTTAATGCCTCCTTGATGAAAAAAAAGTATTAATTTCTTTCCAAAAATCCATTTTCCAGATAGAAAGATATAAATACTATTTATTTCACAGTTTTTTGTCTTTAGGATTATGCATATTAATGGCAGAAATGCCACACACGCACTTTAGTAAGAGTGATGGGACACGGGTGGTAATTTTGTCAGTAATTTAGTGATTCCACAGTTTGTTTCTGTTTTTTCCTGGTAAGACATGACCTTTAAAAGCCCCTCTGTCTCTGTCTCTTCTTGTCTGCGCCCCCACCCAACAGCTGCGGCTGCTAAAAGTGATATTCTGCTCTGGGCACACAAGATCATTCGTCCTTCCTCTTTGTCGTCATAATTTGCTCTCCCTTCCATGTTGCTTCTTTTCATTTCTCTTTGCGCTTCAGTTCTTTATCGCTTTCATGCACAGGCATTTTTAAAAAGGCTCCCTGCATCCTCATATCAACAGAACCACCTAAATAAATTACAAATAAACACTCAAAACCTACTGAAATGTACTGAATTAGTTATAGCTCAGCGTTTTCAATTACTCAGATTACTCTAAATGGGGTCTTGTGTCATTGTTTGACTGATGGGGGCAGATCTGAACATGACTCCTGAGCTTGTGGTCAATTTTAAGGTTTAAAGGGATAGTTCATCCGAAAATGCAAGTTCTGTAATTAAAGGAGAACTCCGGCGCAAAATGAACCTTTGGTCTAATAAAACATCGGCACCTAGTCGACCGTTCTCTGAGATTTGTTTTCATGATTATCGAATGTAAAGAGTTTTATCTCTAAAAACTGTTTAGCGTATAATGCTAGTTCTGGGGGCATATACTTAGTAAAAACAAATCGCTAGTTAATACCACTAACAAGGCTCAAAATAGCCCCACACTAACGCTACATGCAAAACTAAGCATTGAGAACATTGTAAGTGTACAGAACGTTTAATAAGAAGATACTTTATAAAGAAAGTTCACTTCGTGTATACAGACAGGAGCCATCTTAGAAAATAGTCTTGATAAGTCGATCCCCGAACTGAGTGAGCTGAACTGTATGAACGGCGTTCGGGGATCGACTTATCGAGACTATTTTCTAGGTTTGCATAATATTCCGAGTTTACATTTCACTGTTTTTATTCAGTCTGATGAGTACTGAATCTGTTTTTGTGAAGAGAAATGAGTAAATGCTCACATTTAGTCCAGATTGAACTACAATAACATCCTGTTTACACACAGCGCACACAATGAGGACGGGAGAGATGTCAGTCAATACATGGGAAAGCACAGTATTTTGTTGTAAATATGTTACTTTACAAGTTGCTTGGATAAAAACGTAATCTGATTACGTAGCTTGAGTTATTTGGAACATTAAAAAAAAGAGTGAGTTCATTTCACACCTCTTTTAATCAGCTCATTATAAAGGCTCCGAGACCTAATAAGGTCAAATAAAGATTAGGCCGCTCTTCTGTCTCTGTTTTTGGAAGAGCTGTAGACACACTCATTTTCAGCTAATTTGTAGCAATGGGTTTGCCCTACTTTGTCAGTCCTCACACCCTTGTCAACTTTGGTCTTCTTTATTTTGCCTTGTCTCTCTCTCTCTGTTTCTCTCTCTCCTCTTCCTTGTCTCTCCCAATCCCTCTATTTCCCTGTCTGCATTAGCATTTGCTAGGATGAATAGGGTCAGTAAGGACGGCAGACTCAGTTGATTTGCCTACTCCACAAAGCCACTGTCAGTCCCTATAAATCATCCTTCAGCCCAGGACGGCAACTAAGGGAATGGCAGACGAATGACACTGCAGATGTGTGTGTGTGCGTGTGTATGAAAGGAAGTGTATGCTGCTGCAGATGTGTGAGTGTGTGTGAGGATGTTGCCGGTTTTGTGTTTTCTATATTTCGAGCTGTCTCTGTGGCCCCTCTGGGTTCCTCTTTGAGTGTATTTCATGGGTCTGGTGTAGCATAGCCTGCGCTGGTCTCTCTCTCTCTCTCTCTCTCTCTCTCTCTCTCTCTCTCTCTCTCTCTCTCTCTCTCTCTCTCTCTCTCTCTCTCTCTCTCTCTCTCTCTCTCTCTCTCTCTCTCTCTCTCTCTCTCTCTCTCTCTCTCTCTGTAGTGCTTCAGTCTGTGATGTTTTGCCATGATATCATCAGAAAAAAAAACCTATAGGAAACATTAATGAGGTCAGAGAACAGGTCAGTTGGCAGCAAGTTAGCTCCATTACACTACTGTTCAAAAGTTTGGGGACAGTAATATATTTTTAAAGAAATTAAATTGATCCAACGTGGTAGTAAATACAATTATGATGTTACAAAAGATTTATTTTTCAAATAAATGCAGTTTTTTTGAACATATTCTTAAAATTATCATCAAAACAAATGCATCACGGTTTCCTCAAAAAATATTAAAGGAGTAGTTCAGTTTTTAAAAAAAACTTTTGCTGATAATTTACTCACCCCCATGTCATCCAAGATGTCCATGTCATTCTTTCTTCAGTCGAAAATAAATTAAGGTTTTTGATGAAAACATTCCAGGATTTTTCTCCATATAATGGACTTCATTGGGAACCAAAAGGTTCAAGGTCAAAAAGACCGTTTCAGTACAAACTGCAAACTGCTCAAAGGGCTTTAAACGATTCCAGACGATGAATAAGGGTCTTATCAAGCGAAACGATCGCTCATTTTAAAAAATAATAACAAAGTTTAAGTTTTATAAGCACAAATGGTCGCCTTGCTCTGTTCTGTGATGCGCGTTCGTGACTTTCCTGTTCGAACTCGTTTATCAAAATGAATGAATCTTTTTCCAGTCAATTCGTTCGTTTCGTTCGTTGAATGAACCAAATGACTCGAAAAAAGGTTCGTTCATTTTGATAAACGAGTTCGAAAAGAAGAGTCATCACAGAACAGAGCAAGGTGACAATTTGACCTCATAAAACTTAAACTTTGTTATTTATGTATAAAACGAGCGATCGTTTCGCTTGATAAGACCCTTATTCGTCGTCTGGAATCGTTTAAAGCCCTTGAACAGTTTGCAGTTTGCACTGAAACTGTCTTTTGGATCTTGAACCGTTTGGACCCCATTGAAGTGCATTATATGGAGAAAAATCCTGGAATGTTTTCATCAAAAACCTTAATTTCTTTTCGACTGAAGAAAGAAAGTCAAGGACATCTTGGATGACATGAAATTATCAGCAAAGGTTTTTTGAAAAGTGAACTACTCCGTTAAGTTCACTCTATGTAAGTCCATATTTTATTTGTCATTGAGTGACTATATACTATACAGTAGATCACCAAGAGTCGGAGCAGATGCAGTTTGTGATGAGCAGCGTTCACTGTGAATCGAGCCGCTCTGAGACACTGCAAACTGACGGATCATGAGCTGCTCGCATTTACTGTAAACGAACACACTTTGAAACACAGAAGCACATATAGTTTATCACAGCCTTTGCAGTTTTGATAAGTCACGCCGCGCTAGTTAAATGGTTAACGCTCTCTCCGTGTTTCTGTTTGCAGACTCAGCCAGCCATATGTGTACCCGCAGGCCTTCCTGCAACCCAGTCTGGTTCTGCCGGCACAGGTCACCTCCTCCTCCTCCTCCTCTTCCTCCTCCATCACGACTCCTTACCTTGACTTCAGCACTGCCTACAACCAGTACGCCTCCTCAGCCTTCGAGCAGTATCCCTACGCCCCCTCGCCAGGCTTCCTGAGCTACATGTACCCGCCGGGCACCCCCGGGCCGTCCTCCGCCTCCTCCTCCGTCGGCGGCCCCCCGAGCGCAGCCTTCATCCAGATCCCTCCTCATCAGCTCCACACCGACCGCCTTTAGGACTGGCCACGAGGACCGGCCGGGGAATGCTGAAATTGCACTAGAACATCATCATTATGGGACAGGGATCTGTGACATCATCAGCCTGTGACTGGGGTCGCACACAAAGGGCTTCAAGTTCTTCTGCGTTTCATTATCCTTTTTTCTTATGATTAATTATTATGTCATTATTGTTTGAAGAACCGATATTAGATTGCGATTCAGGGAATGATAGGAAACGACAGGTTATACACACACACACACACTACTGTTCAAAAGTTTGGGAGCAGAAGGCTTTTTTTTAAAAAAGTCTCTTATGCTCAACAAGGCTGCATTTATTTGCAGTTTTCCATTACAATTTAAAAGTGTATCGTCAAAAATCTGAACAAATCAAAGCTGAATTTCCAGCATCATTACTCCAGTCTTCAGTGTCACATGATCACATTGATGCTCAAGAAACATGTATTACTATTATCAATGTTGTAAACAGTTGTGCTTGATATTTGTGTGGAAATGGGATACTTTGATGAATAGAAATTTCAAAAGAACAGCATTAATTAGAACTTTTCTGGCATTGTAAATGTCTTACTATCACTTTTGATCAAATTAATGCGTCCTTGACGAATAAAAGTATTAATTTCTTTAAGAAATCCAAGAAATCCAAACTTTTGAATGGTGGTGTGTATATTCAGTATACTCCGCAAAAGAATGACGTTTTTTTTAAAGGAGTTGTCCACTTTAAAAAAAAAAACTTTTGCTGATAATTTACTCACCCTCATGTCATCCAAGATGTCCATGTCTTTCTTTCTTCAGTCGAAAATAAATTAAGGTTTTTGATATAATGGACTTCAATGGGAACCAAACGGTTCAAGGTCCAAATGAGAGTTTCAGTGCAGCTTCAAAGGGCTTTAAACGACACCAGACGATGAATAAGGGTCTTATCAAGCAAAACATCGCTCATTTAATTAAAAAATAAAAAAGTTTAAGGTTTATAAGCACAAATGCTCGTCTTGCTCTGTTCTGCGATGAGTGTTCGTGACTCTCCTGTTTGAACTCTTTCATCAAAATGAACAAATCTTTTTTCGAGTCATGACTCGAAGGGTCCAGATAAGACCCTTATTCATCGTCTGGTGTCGTTTAAAGCCCTTTGAACAGTTTGTACTGAAACTCTCATTTGGACCTTGAACCGTTTGGTTCCCAATGAAGTCCATTATGGAGAAAATGCTGGAATGTTTTCATCAAAAACCTCAATTTGTTTTCGACTGAAGAACGAAAGACATGGATATCTCGGATGACATGGGGGTGGGTAAATGATCAGCAAAAGTTTTTTTAAAAAGTGAACTACTCCTTTACGGTTGTATGTTGTGCGTATGTATATGCAGGAGATCTATTAAGCACAAAGCCTTAGAGACTTATCCACTTTTCTTTTCTATAGCTGTTCTTACGACTCAAATGTGCTTCCCTCTCCCTGAGCAAAAACATGTGAATTTTTTAACCAGACTTTTTCCAAGAATAGATAACTTTTCTAGAAATGTAGCACTGCATAGGATTTGTAAATCTGCTTATCGCCTCCGTCAAAGGTCTCTTCAGTTCCTGTAGTTCCTCTTTCCTTAAGATTCAAGTAGCTCCGATTAGATGGTTAACATTAATCCAGCATTCAGTAACATGGATGCGAGATGCGCTGTAGCTCGCCTGCGAATAATCATGAGGAAATAGACATTAAAACGTTGAGTATTAATCATATTCTAATCCTGTCTTGTACGTGAGGCTTTTTAGACTGTGTTTTGGTCAATATCTACATCTGCTGAAAGGACAAAAGAAAGAGTATTGTGACAAATGTCTGTGGTTGCCATTGGTCTCGCTCCACAGACGACACTACAGGACAAAACGGCAGCAGGAAAACATGAGAAAAGTCTTGGTTTGAGAGGACTTTTGGACAGCGCGAGAGAAGACGATATATTGCCAAGACAATCTGTTTGTTTTCACAAGAACAGTGTAACAATAAACCTCGAAATATGAAAATACCTTACAGTGAAAGCCATAAGACCAGACATGGAAAACAAGTAATAAAATCATTTACAAAAACTGAGCTTCACTGATGTTTTTATTGTGACGGTTACGTACGGTGGCTTTAGTTTCACGGTTCCACATTCTTGACAATGCATTATTAATGATTCATTTTTATTCACATGGTTATGTTATTATCTGTTCCTCAACTCTTTTCAACTTGTCAGTTGAGTTTGTTTCTCTTCTTTGGACCTTCCTTTTGTTTCTTCTGACGGAAGTGTACATGTGCTGACGATGAATAACCAGTTTAACTTCCATTAATGGCTGCTTCAACAGAACAGCTGGAGTGAATCCAAGAGTTCATGGACATGCAAACAAACCTATGCAAATGAAGGGAATGGAGGGCATTTGGGCTTTATATATTTTTGTGAGTAGGCAAACTATCACTATAGAAACTACAGCAAGATTTACGCATGAGGCCTCAGACCTCAATCCAAATGAGCACCTGTACACGTCCTTCAACCAGACCAAATCCTTATGCATTGTGCAAAGTTCTTTTTATTTTTCTTCTTCTTTTTTTTCTTTTTTTGTGACAATAGGCCTTCCTTTTGTGCACCACCTACATGTCAAGTTGGAAATAACGAATGCTGGCTGATTATGAACGCTGTATTTAGGCAAATGAGTGTTCAAATTAGAAATGGCAGTTCAGGCTTTAGTTGGTTAGTTTAAAGGGACCGTTCACCCTAAAATAAAAATGAAGTGATTATTTACTTCTAGTGTTGTTCTAATGCAGTATACAGTTCTTTTCTGTATAGTATAATGTATTAGAACAACACCATGGTTGGTAAATGAACAGTCACGTTTTTTGTTATGCTGTAACTACACCATTGGGTGGAGACAGTGTATTGACGGTCGTCCAAAAGTAGGAGTGAATGCTGATTAAACTTTTTAAACTTTTTTTTTTTTGCAAGCAAAATATAAATTAATGCAGTTTTTTCATTATATTAGATCAGAAGATTAATGTATAAAGCTTGTTTACTTCAAATAAACCTGGGGGAAAGTGGCACACAGTTTTACTCAGCAAGGCACACGGTCCGATGCTATAATGCAGAGATTGTACATTATCATTAACAGCTATCAAATGTATCAAGAAGCAAATAAATGTATTCATTTTGATATGTACTACAGTGACACTCAGAAATGTTCTTTCTATATAAAACGTGTGTATGGTGACATTTTATGCTCGTGCAAGAATATTAACTGGGGAAACTTACTAAAGAATCCACTTTGGAAAACGTGTAGATGTCACGGTTTAAAGGGTAACTAAACACCAAAACAACTTTTTTTAGTTAATGATCTGTAAGAATGGAGCTTCATAAATGCTGTTCATTGATTCGAGTACATTTTTTGACAATTGAGTATAAAGTGTTTTGATTTTCAAATATATGGTGTAAAAACGTCTGAGTGCTGCCCTCTTCAGGTTAAACGGAAAGCTCCTGCAGTAGGGGTACTTGCTGACGTAGCGAACTCTCAGACGCACTCTGTCACACCCTTGGTGCGAGCTCACCACGCCCTTGGCAGCCCCTGGTATAAAAGCATCTGGTTCCGTCAAAACTACTGTAGCGAGTCAGGAGTTGGATTTATGAATATTGAAAACGATCAGGATACTATAGCATATAATAGCATCTAGTTAGCATAGCATTTATATAGTTATTTAGATTATTTTTGAAAACGACCAGGATAGAGTATTGTTGCATCTATTTAGCATAGCATTATATAGATAATTTAGATTATTTTGTGTAGCTAGTAGCATAGTACAGTTAGGATAGCTTCAAGTTAGCATAGATTTATCAGTGTTTAGTACAGTGATCAGGATAGTAACGGAATAGAGGTGGACATGGGCTTCTCCACACGCAGTGCCAAACACTGCTCGTCCTGCATGGACTCCTCCACCGCAGCGGCGTCTTGATGTGAGTGATCATGGATATTTTAATCACAATTTATGGTTAGGATAAAGTTAATCCTCTAGGGTCGACAAACGAGCCGGTGCATTTTGCTGGATTTTTTCACATAGCGGCATAATATCAATAGCGTGCGCTATTGAGATCAACTCGACGACATAACTCATCAGATGCCGGTCGCGATGCGGGAGTTAAGACCGCAGTTTGAGCCAGCAGCTCGAATGGATTTGGCCCTGTGTACATACAATTCACCCTCATCCACTTCAGGTGAAGGTGAAGGTGAGGGAGAAAAGTCCTCGACTTCAAATGGCCGCTCTGTTGCAAAGGCAGCTATTGAGTCACTCCAGACTAGTCTCGCTCTATTTTAGAGTCTGACAGCAGCTGTCACTCACGGCGGGTCTCGGGTGCACGCCCCCTAGCCCCGCTGGGGTCTGCCCATTTTTTCAGCATTTTTCAAATATTGCTAGTGGGTGGAGTCAGGCTCTGACCAGGGGTTTAGTTACCCTTTAACTGTGATAGTTTAAAACCAAACTCAAAACCATAAATAGGGCTATACTGCCCTCTTGTGTCAAATTATATTTCTATATTTATTTTTCCAACAAATAAAACCAAACCCGCAATAGGTTTTATTGCGGGTTTGGTTTTATTTGTTGGAAAAATAAATATAGAAATATAATTTGACACAAGAGGGCAGTATAGCGCTATTTATGGTTTCGAGTTTAACCTATCACAGTTAAATCGTGACATCTACACGTTTTCCAAAGTGGACCAACGTGATTATTTCACGTCTTGTCGTGATACCGGGTTGGGCACTGAAGTTACAGGAGTTTCTTCCCGTTGCTAAGCAACGGAACTAGGTCGAGTATTTAAAAGGTTTTGGTTAACACGGTTAACGTGATTTAACGTCGATGTAATACGTTGTTTTAGCGTACCTTTTGCTTAAACAAGTAACTTAGCGTACCTTTTGCTAACGTTACTGGCTTCCATACAAAGCTCTTGCAACTTGCGCTCTCCCCCTCGCACGTATTTAATCAAAATAAATTGACACGGTGGTAAAACGTCGGAAGATGAAAGTTTGTGGCGCATTCGGTGTTTTCCCCCCGTGATTTCCCGCTGGGTGTGAATTGTGCTAAATAAGTTGCCTTATCTTCTCTGAGACGCGTTCTGGGCATTCAGCTGACATAAACAACAAATTAATTAAAGAAAAAACTATCCAGTGATGAAATGTTTTCTGTGTTGACATAAATCTTGGATGTCCATGTCCTAACAGCTAGGATAATCACACAACGCGCATTACACGTCCAATTCGCGAACTAATGACTCTTTTGAACCGATTCATTTTAATGAATGCTTAAAACAACTTTCCAACAATGAACTCAGGAGACGTCTGAATTGGCGTATAACTAATCAACACTTTACAATAATGTTCTATTTATTACTTGAATTACATAAAAAGTACAGGTTGCTTAAGCTACTCAAGTTTAAGATTAAAAAACACAATTTCCACACAGCGCTATCAAGAATCGATAAGAGAATCGTTCAAGAATCTGATTCTGATTCTAAAGAATCGGGTCGATAAACAGACGTTAGGGTAGGCATAAAAGACCTCTAATTTGTGGTTTTATCATCTGTGTTTTAAGTTATTGGCATTGTGTATAGTCATATTTGTAAATTGATACACCCGTAATTGTTGAGTGAAGAAGTTAAGATTGCACTATAGAAAAGGGGCTGTATTGCATATCCTAGTGAAGAAGAATGCCATTTTCAATATGTTAACCATCACAGCACAAATAATTGAAAATTACATTTGATTTGATTACTTTTTTTACAATATTAACCATTTTCAAATAAACGTGGTAGTGTTAAGCTTATTCAGCACTGAAATCTGTCAAACTTCTTTCAAAGTCCTTTATTACATATTAAAATATTGATGTATTGATGATATTAAAATAACTTAATTTCAGAGCACCACAAAGTCAGACCTCAGCCCCTTTATATACCTTTAATGTAAGATCGTTCGGTCACATACCAATTTAAAATCATAACATAAAAACTGCAATGTTACTGTTTTTAAAAACATGTGTAGTAAGCCTAAGTGTACAGTAAGTGTGTGTGTAAGCATGCTTTAATGAAGTAGACTTAAAAAGCTTTTGAATTTGAGCTTTTACATTCATCAACCTGTCTTTTACATAAACTTACAAAAAAGATACTTTAACTCAGTCCTCAGATAGAGGAGGGTTGCTGCTAGCTCCGTCAAAGTATTTCTGTCCCTCCCAAACTGCTTTGAAATGGTATGTTTAGCAGCCAGAATTTAAAAAAAAAATTCAGGGGGAGAAGCCCCCTGACCCCTCCTAACATGATCACCCGTCAGGAAACAATTGCAACGTCTCAGATTGACAGAACAGACAGAACGTCTCAGAATTTTAGCTTGCATGACGCCCCTGATAAAACCCATCCAATACACCATTGAGCTCATCAGACTCAGTGGCTCAGTTGATAAAGTGTTGGGCTTTAATCAAGGAGACCTGAGTCCACTGGTCCACTTTGGAAAATGTGTAGATGTCACGGTTTAAGCCCCTCAAACGTGAAACTTAAACGTTTGCGTTAACACGCTCCAGTGGAGAGATACCCAGATGTTGACCTATTCTACACGCGTTCTCGTTTTATACCAAAGCGGTGGGCGGAGTTACGCCATGCAAATTCTGCAGACCCATGGCATTTCCTTGCCATTGGCTCATTTTATTTGTTTTGAGGATGAGAGGCTTCTAAGCGAACCCCATTCGTCGTCATCCGACGTAACATCTCAGTTCCCTACTCAGGGAATGATCGAGGATTACATCCATAAACGAGATGTTCTCTAACTGCACCACGAGAAGGCAAGGAATGAAGAAGCTTCCCGAGGAATCATTAGCAAGTAATCTTACTGTCCAGCGGTGTGAGCTTACGCTGTTCTCTGTGTATTTGCAAAATTTCTGGTTAATTAATTTTGCGCTACAAATCAGTGGGGTTATACTACGACAATACATTAAAATAATATGGCAAGAAATACCACTTTGCAATATCAAACAGCATAACAGGCAGTTTTGTACTTAAAGGAACACTCCGACTTTTTGGGACTTTAGCCTATTCACCTTACCCCCCAGAGTTAGATAAGTCCATACCTTTTTCATCTCCGTGCGTGCTATAAGTCTGTTTGACGCACCCACCGCTAGCCTAGCTTAGCACAAAGACTGGATGTGAATGGTTGCAGCTTTCATATACTAATCCAAATGAGTGGCAAAATAACGCAAACGTTTTCCTATTTACATGTTGTGGTTTGTATAGTCACAGAGTGTGCAAATATCAAGGTCATATGAGACACAGACATCTTTTGACCGTATAAATACTATATTTTCTGAAGGCGAAACACTGCTACTTGGGCAGAGTGATCGAGATGCACCGTGACGAGGAGCAGAGAGTTCGCTTCGCTCAGCGTTGGAATAAAGAGTCAGCAATTACTAACGTTAGATAGAAAAGCATAGTTTATCATGGGTGTTTGCTTTATTGTATGAGCTGTGACAAAAAACAGGGAAGACCAGGTAATGCAGTACCATGTTTCATTGATTTCCAACCAAAAACGCACCCAGATTTATAAATATCACATGAATAAATAATTATTATTACAGGAATCAATATATTTTAAATGCAATTTATTAGCTGAACCAAATGTATTCAACAGTAGCCTATATAATATACAGTATTGCATTACTATAGGATAGAATAAGGGGAAAGTAATAGCACAAATTGTTTTTGCACAATGAACTCACAGCCTATCGTACCCTTTTGCACGCTCAAGTTCGTTATTTCCATGGTTATTTCAAATTTAGGCTACTAGGCGCGCCGCGCGCAGGGTGCAAGTTCAACGCGGTGAACGCGCTCGTTTTTTTCCCCAAGCGCGTCCGCACCGCATCAAGATAAAAACATATTCATACCCTAATCATATAATAGTGTCACTAACGTTACATTAGATCTGGCTAATGGCACTGTTACAGTAGGTCATCTAAAAACATGACGATAGAGGCTAATTAGCCTACTGGCTAATTCTGGCACACTGTACATTTAATCATGTATCATTAGTGTGCATTGTCCCTGTTAAATAAACCTGAAATAAATAAATAAAATAAATAAACAGAACACTTACCTCAGCCGCAGGTGATCCACTTGTCCTGTCTGTGCTATCGATGGGATGGCCGTATCCTTCAGCACATTATGGTCCGTGTGGCAAATTCCATTTTTTCAAAATAGTCGTCCTCATTGAAATGTACCGAGCAAACATAATGTCCCTTGATAATCTTAGGTGTGTTTGGATAAATATCCAGAAGTTAGCCATTTCTTCATCCAGTCAGCGTTTTTAGTTGGAATTCAGTGAAACATGGTTACCTCCCCTGTTTACAGTCGCAGCTATTTACAATAGAGCGAAAACCCATGACTCTAAACTACGCTTTTACTATTTATAAATTGCTGACTCTATTACCCAAACACCGAGCGAACTCTCCGCTCCTCACCACAGCGTGTCTCAGGTGATGGTTATTACTCCGTCAAAGTAGCAGTGCTTCGCCTTCAGAGAATAGTTCCCAGGTTTTATACGGTTAAAAGATGTCTGTGTCTCATTTGACTTTGTTATTTGTACATTATGTGACTATACAAATCACAACATGTAAATAGGAAAACGTTTGCGTTATTTTGCCACTCATTTGGATTAGTATGAAAGCTGCAACCAGTCACATCCAGTCTTTGTGCTAAGCTAGGCTAGCGGTGGGTGGGTCAAACAGACTTATAGCACGCACGGAGATGAAAAAGGTATGTATGGACTTATCTAACTCTGGGGGGTAAGGTGAATAGGCTAAAGTCCCAAAAAGTCGGAGTGTTCCTTTAACTGGAAGCAAATGACACCGGAAACCAGACACGTTAAATTTACAAATGGCCACGCCCTCTGTTATAAAAAAGGTGTTTCACACAAAAAACATTAATTTAAACATTTAGACAATTGTTTACTTATAGCCTAAGGGAGGGACATTTAGGCCTATACCATTTAATTGGACAAGAATGTAGTGCAAGATTAGTCATACATTTTTCGGATATGTTTTTCTTTTTTCTAGAAGAGACAGAAATTTAAAAGCACAAAGACTATATTATTGAATGGGATCAAGTGTGTTTTGTCCTTAGTAATAATTCTGTATGAGAGTTAACTCTCGTACCACTGGCCATTTTTCTAAATGTCATTATGTCTAATTAAACCCCACCATCATCTCTTATCGCAGCTGAATATTTGGAGCTAGGGTTAGATGATAAATCACTGTTGTACAGCGCCATCTAGTGTTAATATTCATTAATGCATAATTAATGACGCAATGTGTGCATGCGATATATACAAAGACCCTTTTCTTTTTCATGTATTTATTTGCATTCAAATATGATTCATGTTGCTGTATTTTTTACCCAGTCATGGATGTTTTTCTCAAAAAAAGATTTAATGAAAGGCAACAGACACTGTAAACTTGAAGTAATTGCAAAGACTGGTGGCAAGGACTGGTGTCATTAAAACAGCTCAGTTCACGGGTGGTTTGTGTGAAAGTTCAAATGAATGGAATATCATTGCAAACAATACAGTTTGGGTTGTCATAGAGTCCCGTAAAAATAAGAGAAAAAAACATGAGCATGGTACAGACATGAGCGAGCTGTAATGATAAAAACCCAAAATAAATGCTCAGTTAACAGACACACAAACACTTGGTCATGCACAAGCTAAACACATGTAGCTTACATACTTGTGCATGATCTGCCTCACTCACACACACACACACACACACAAAAGACCCACACAGTGGCACTCACTTGCACACCCACATTAACTCTCATGGAAATAAAATAAAAAACGTGTGGAAAAAAATGTGACACCCTGGTTAAGTAGCATACATCCAAAAATGATTTGTGTTGTAGAAAACGAAATTGAAAATGAATTGTGAAAAATGAAGTCAGATGAAAAGTGAAAAGCATGTCTAAATAAACGGATCTAGCCCCTCCCACACCATAAACCCCGCCCACATCCACCTGAACCCCTGCTTCAGCTCCGCCCTCTGCCCTGCACTGGTACTAGCAACTCACCTATAATATTACACAGAGTGCTCTACTCAATTCAGTTCTCTTCATGATTTTAGTGTAGATGTGCGACCCTCTGCGTGGGGTTTTATTTCGATATCATTTTAACAGGTGTATTGGCTGTTGCTCGGGGAGGTGAGATGGTCCAGTGAGGTAGAGCCAGACTTCGGTCCCCAGGTTTTGATTAGGTTTATAGGGTTTGTGTCTTGAGCTCGATGGGCTCCCCCCGGGCGTCCTGCTGGTTCTCGGCCTCGGGGGCCCGGGTGCCCTTTAGAGTGGCTAGCCGCTCAGATAACCCCCTCATACGAGGGAACAGCATGTAGTCGTACAGGATGGCCCCCATTGCACCACCAATCATGGGCCCCACCCAATACACCTGACAGAAGACAAGAAGAAGGAGGTCACTAAATGATCTTGTCTGTCTGTCTGTCTGTCTATCTATCTATCTATCTATCTATCTATCTATCTATCTATCTATCTATCTATCTATCTATCTATCTATCTATCTATCTATCTATCTATCTATCTATCTATCTATCTGTGTGTCTATCTATCTCTCTATCTATCTGTGTGTCTGTCTGTCTATATCTATCTATCTATCTATCTATCTATCTATCTATCTATCTATCTATCTATCTATCTATCTATCTGTGTGTCTATCTATCTATCTCTCTATCTATCTGTCTGTCTGTCTGTCTATATATCTATCTATCTATCTATCTATCTATCTATCTATCTATCTATCTATCTATCTATCTATCTATCTATCTATCTATCTTTGTGTCTGTGTCTGTCTGTCTATCTATCTATCTATCTATCTATCTATCTATCTATCTATCTATCTATCTATCTATCTATCTATCTACCTATCTATCTATCTATCTATCTATCTATCTGTGTGTCTATCTATCTATCTGTGTGTCTATCTATCTATCTATCTATCTATCTATCTATCTATCTATCTATCTATCTATCTATCTATATGTGTGTCTGTCTATCTGTCTATCTATCTATCTCTCTATCTATCTGTGTGTCTGTCTGTCTATCTGTCTGTCTGTCTGTCTGTCTATATCTATCTATCTATCTATCTATCTATCTATCTATCTATCTATCTATCTATCTATCTATCTATCTATCTTTGTGTCTGTCTGTCTATCTATCTATCTATCTATCTATCTGTGTGTCTGTCTATCTGTCTGTCTGTCTGTCTATATCTATCTATCTATCTATCTATCTATCTATCTATCTATCTATCATCTATCTATCTATCTATGTCTCTATCTATCTGTGTGTCTGTCTGTCTATCTGTCTGTCTGTCTGTCTATATCTATCTATCTATCTATCTATCTATCTATCTGTGTGTCTGTCTATCTATCTGTCTGTCTGTCTGTCTGTCTGTCTGTCTGTCTATCTATCTATCTATCTATCTATCTATCTATCTGTGTGTCTGTCTATCTGTCTGTCTGTCTATCTATCTATCTATCTGTCTATTTATCTGTCTATATATATATATATATACATATCTGTCTATGTATCTATCTATCTGTTTAGATATCTATCTATCTGTCTATTTATCTGTCTGTCTGTCAATCTGTCTGTTTGTCTAAAGAAGGTCAGGTTTTTATCTTACCCAGTGGTTGATGAAATTCCTCATGATAAGAGCAGGAGCGAAAGACCTGGCTGGGTTCATACCAGCGCCAGTGTAGTACATCTGATTCAAACACAAATAACATGGGACATTTTTAGTGTACTGCACAATAAAAAAAACTCAAACATGAGAAGAGAGTTTATTCTACTATAGTCGCGCTCACCCCCATCAGGTGGGCCATGGTAATCGAGAAGCCAATGGACAGAGCGGCAGAACCCAGACGCCCGTTGCGTCTCTCGTCTGTGACGGCGAAGACGCAGATCACCAGCTGCATGGTGAGAAACACCTCCACTGTGGTCGCCATTCCCAGACTGATCCCGGGCTGCAGCTGTAACACACACACACAGGGACACGGAAAGTTTTAAAGACCACAACATAGATACCTCTTTGTGTAAGGGCCTTTTAGTATGTACTATACACAGTAAGTATCATTTTAAAAATGCTCTGTCAAACTTTTAGACTCATCAAAAACAAAAACATCAAAATATGCATTTGTAAACAAAAAATTCAAATTTTTTTATCAAGAAAAAATAAATATATATCGAATGAATCCAACATAATTCTTGCTCAGTGAGTCCCTCTTACCGTGTTCAGTGCCAGTGTGCCTTTCATGTTGCTGGGTGTGACTCCGTAGAGGGCCGCGGCCCCTGCCAAGGCCCCCAGGCACTGGGCAAAAATGTAGAAGAAAGCTCTGAACAGGGACATCTGAGAGCCCACCAAGTAGGCGAAGGTGACGGCCGGATTGATGTGTCCTCCGCTGATGTGGCCGATGGATTGGATGAGTGTGGCAGCAGCGAGACCGAAGCACAGGGCAGTGTGGAAGACGTGGTACGGCCCCGAGGTCCAGCGCAGCGCTGCGCCCATCCCGAAGAACACGAAGAACATGGTGCCGTAAAACTCGGCAAACACCGCCCGCCAGAACATCATAGAGCGGAACTCCCACATCGTGACTCAAGAGATCCAACTACAACGAAAACCGAAGCTTTTCTTGAATTCGCAAAACTGCCTTTGGAAGTGTCTTTGGGGAGGGAAAATTGGAATTGTCCTTGTTAGCAAGTCAACAAAAAGTTAAATCCTGTGTGACTTTTAGCTAGTTGAGCTGAAGCTGCCGGAAATAAAGAAATGAAAAAGGGAAAATGGCAAAATTTGCGATTAACGGCTAATAGATCTAGCCGTTAGCTAAGGCTGTGTGGGGAGCCGCGAGTCACACATGTAGCGGCACACAGGTCGTCTCTGCCGGCGTTGCTTCTCTTCGCCTGCACAACACCCAGACTGCTAAAGAAACATGAGGTGTGTGTGGTTGTGTGCGCGAAGAAAATTTGGAGGGTTTTGTCAGAGAGACCTGAACATCGATGCTAAATGCTAAATCTACAGGACTAAACCTAGTTGAGCGACACAGAAGAGGTTACAGAGCATATCCTGCCCACACCAAGTAGAGCTGGTCTGACGGACCACAAAGGGGCCATGGGGGCATTTATAATGGCCCCGGGGCCCGGCGTGACGACATAATCCCCCCCGGGAGGCAGCAGCAAAAGGGGGCATCCCATATCGCTCACTGCGCTCTCCATTAAACTCAATCAGAGTGAGATTAAGACAGGGACATCGCGGCTCAAAGTAAAGGGGATGTGTATCTCTGTGGGGCTCTGAAGTACAAAGCTGATCCACCAATAAGATTTTAGTGTGGCACACTTTGAGATGATGAAATTTCCTTTCTAAAAGGATGTAAGCCTATAAAAGCTAAGAGTTTGTAACATCAGGAAAAGGGTTTATATTTTTTAATCAAAACTTGAATTTATTGCCACAGGTTTAGCAGGCGAGTTAGTGCTGACTTTGAACTCGCACACAGGCAGAAAACACACACACACAAGGCACATCGTCATGATAATGTCACGCATCCGCACACACACAATGTCCCTCCATCCCCGCGGCTCAAGAGAGGCCCTGCGTGGAGAGAGAGGAGCCAGCCGTGTGCAGAGACATGCACTGAAACCCCTGAGCACAGGAAACACATTGTTCCTCAGAGCATGAAGCTAGCATGTGCAAACACGCTTTATCTGTGTCTCTGGCCGGACTGAATAATCATGGCACGGAAAAATAGCAACATTCTATCTATCTATCTATCTATCTATCTATCTATCTATCTATCTATCTATCTATCTATCTATCTATCTATCTATCTATCTATCTATCTATCTATCTATCTATCTATCTATCCATCTATCCATCTATCTATCTATCTATCTTTCTATACATCTGTCTGTACATCTGTCTGCCTGTGTATATAAAATCCATTAGGACTTTTTGTTATGCCACTGTGAACACAATGGTATAGATGAACTTCTAAAAATGATTTTCTTTAAAACATCAGTGCAGTTTATGGAGATATGGTGGAATGATGCTGGTGGTTCTGGTTGGTTCAGGGCAGAAGTGATTATACAGAGGTTTGTATTGTGTGAGGAGCAGATCGGTTTTGTTGGGGCGGGCGGGGGGGCTTCGTAGCCGGATAAAGCCCTGGAAAATCCCTCTGTTAGAAGAGCTCATGGTGAATTAGGATCGCTGATCTCATCTGTTTTACTCCCTCACTTACACACACACACACATATACACATGCATGCTGAACAAAACAAAATGCTGGCTGGCACTGTGTGGATGTTCTTCATTGTTTATGTGCATGTGTGTGTTATTAATAGCTGCTGTGTATGATGTATGCATGTATACTCAAGTGTAAGTGTGAAACACAACACGCTACCTCGGTGTGTGTGTGTGTGCGTGTGTGTGTAATGTGGAAATGTTCAACATGCTTTCTGTAAGAACACAGAGAATCAAGTTTATTAAATTATGCTACAAGTACAAGTTAAAATATGGATCAGAGTAATTTGTAGCAGAGCAAATCTATGAGAGAAAACAAATGCTTTTTGTGTCATGCCAGGAAATGTATTATAGTTCTAGTTTAAATAATTTATAAATGACAGTTTGATATCAAGTACAGTAAGGGTTGAAGTATCCCATTATTCATAAACCTGAAAGTCAACTTATGCTCCAAATGGTAAACAAAGTAAATCTTGAGAACACATTTATATTTATTCCCACTAAAGATATAATGACACTATCAACAATCAACCTGACACAATAGTGATAAAAAAGCAATAAAATTAAATTTACACTGGTTTTGGTTAAAGGTGGATTTAAAAAAAAAAAGTATTTATGGTCTACACTTTATTTCGATGGTCCACTTTAGACATTCGACTGACTGTAAGTAACTTGTCATCTACATGTCAACTAACTCTCATAGACGTATCAGTAGACTGTTAAAGGGACACTTCACCCATTTGCATTAAGCTTTATATCTTTAGAAATCCAGTCATATTTTTGAATGGTCATGGTTTATTCCCTTATTTTCCCCTGAGATGGCAGAAATAAGGATTTAAGTGTTTTACTTTCTGCTTATTATGACGTAAATATCGTAATTTTCCGTCATAATAAGCAGGAAGTCACATTTCATTAAAAAGTCTAGAAACTACAAACATTAGCTCATTATTATTCAAGGGTGTGGGACCCACTCACCCTACAGGACTATTACACATCAGTGGGTGGGACTTTACTTGCAGATACTGAATCAATATCCGCCATCTTGTTTGGAAGCTAAGCTAACAAGCGCTGTGGAGATAGGAAGTATGATAATGACAGAAGAAACTAAACATGATATGGAAGAAGAGGATTTTGAAATTATGCTGCTCGAATCCAATTTTCGTGGCTATCTTTACGAGTCGCAGTATAGTGAAGAGCAGCTGAGGCTGATGGAGGAACCGGAGGCGGCTGCCTGTCGCGGTCGAGGAGCCCGGACTGATTTGAGCTGAGGCGGACTGCTGGTGCCCGTGCTCTCGTGTGCACTACAAACACAGAAAGAGTCCGTCTTCAACGATGGCAATTTCTCCTGGACGAAATCTCTGAATCAGACGAGCACACGGACGATTGTGTTGTGATGTGAACCATCCTAGTTTCGCCTGACTGAACATTCAGGTATCATGCAGTAATTCACCGTAGAAATAAATACAAACGAGGAGTAATTCACTAATGAGTTTGCCAATGTAACGTTAACGGGGTTTGTTGTGGGAAGAAGGAGGCGGGAATCGGCGAACATTTAAACATTTTAATAGTAAAATGAACAAATACAAAACGAAAGTATAAGCCAACAGCCCCTCATTGACGACTGATGTCCGCACACAACATAAAATCAAGCCTGTTTCTCTCTCGATCTGCCGTTTATGCTCCCGCTCCTCTGTGAGAGATGCGAGACCGGTCGGTGCGTCTCTTGTCTTTCATTATCACTCACGCCACCGGCCTCGCGCCGTCCTCTCGCGCTGCTCTCACGTCCCTCGTCCTGCTCGCCACAGCCAACTAACTAGAAATTTTGTGTGAAATGATTTTCAAACTCTGGTGACAGCTAAAGTTAGCCTTGTTGACGAAAGAATGATTTCTCTGATGTGTGCGCAGTTCTTTTACATTTCGACTACAAATATGATCCACCTTCAATAAAGATTAATGTTGAAATGGGTGAAATGCTCCTTTAAAGTCTGTTGGGGAGCAAAAAATAAATAAATAGCAAGCTCGAGCCACATAGGCAAACGTTTGGCACTTTTATAACTATCCATGTTCAAGCTGAGCGTCAAAGACTACTTAAGACAGTACAGCTTCTGATCCACAATAGAATATTCTATGAAAATATTTTCACTCAATATTTACAGATTTTGAAGGAAATATGTGGTAACATTTTCCACTTGCTCTTCCTCATTTGTGAAACACGAGCAGGACAAACTCCTGTGTGAATGATTCTTAAATCTGTTCTCAATAACTTGCATGGTGCAATTTATGTAAGAATGGTTATAAAGAAATGACACACAATTTGTTCTGGTCATGTTTCACGAATAACACCCTTTGTGACATTGACGAAATATTAAAAAAAAAGAATTGAATTGTTGGTCAGTTGAATTTGAGCTTAGCTGTGCTCCAGTTTGTTGCTTTGCTTGTTTCTCATGGCGCTCTGTGTGACGGTGGACAGGGACGATCGAGACACGCTGGCCGTCTCCACAATCTCAATGTCCTTACAGGTCAAACAAGCCACCAACTTCTGTCTGGACGCACTGGGGGCAAAAATAAACTCGTGGGACAGTCCAGCCAGGACTGCACCTAATATTGGCCCGATCCAGTAGACCTGAACACAAGAGGAAGCAGAGACTTGCTCCAAACTCACTTTTTTTGGTAAGAAAACGTTTTCTAGATGTTAATTGCAGAACTGTGTCATTTCCGTTTGTATTAATTAGCACTAACTAGTCAGCAGAGCTGCTTCAAATAGCTGTTTAACTTACCCAGTGATGTTCCCAATAGCCAAGGATTATAGCGGGACCGAGGGAGCGAGCCGGATTCAAGCTGGCACCAGAAAACCTCCCCTGAAATCCACAAACAAACATTTAAAAATGTATACAATAATCATTATTCGTAAAAAAAAAAAATAGTTAAAAATAGCTTTCAAATGAACAATAGATTGTGTAGTTTGACTGGTAGTTCACTATGTTTAAGTCATAAGAGATGTATACACTACCGTTCAAAAGATTGGGGTTGATAAGGTTTTTTATGTTTTAAGTGTCTTCTCACTGAGGCTTCATTTAATTGATCAAAAAATACAGTAAAAATAGCAATATTGTGAAAAATTATTTCATTTTAACTTGATCAAAACTGAATTGTCAGCATTATTACTCCAGTCTTCAGAGTCATTCTAATATGATGCTCAAGAAACATTTTTTAATTTTTATCAATTTTGAAAACAATATTTTTGTGTAAAACTGTGATCCTTTTTATTCAGGGTTCTTTGATAAATGGAAAGTTCAAAAGAACAGCATTTATTTGAAATAGATATCTTTTGTAACATTATAAATGTCTTTACTGTGAATTTGTATCAATTGAACGCATCCTTGCAGAATAAAAGTATCGATTTCTTACAGCAATGAAGATTGCAGTGATTACAGCAAACCCAATGGCTAAGTTCCCAGGTTCGTTTATTTCTCTCCTGCGTTGATCTTCCACAGAAAATACGGTGAAGCCCAGGACAAACGTGGCAAGCATCTCCATCACAAGAGCTTGGCCGGCGTTCATGTCCACCGGGACCTTCAGAGAAGGAAACGAGACGGGCGTTTTAGATTTGTTTTGTAACATTAAGTGTCATGTTGATTCACTGTGGACTAGAAAGTAAGTGCAAAACATCTTTAAACAGTACATTTCTAAACACAACCATTGAAATATTAATAACAATATAAAATGCATTCTTAAAATCAATCATAACATTTCACAGCTGTAAAACACACACGTATCACAACCTGAAGGGGGCTTTTTACAATAATATTAAAAGGCCTTTTACATTCCAATGAAGAATAAACTATAAATCAGACAACAGAAGTTATAATAGTTCGTGTACAAGAAGTTTTGATCATCTGCAGGCGTTAGAAACACATGTATCAAATATGTTACGATAGGCTTTATAGTAAGCCCTAAAATCGGTGGATGTGAATGTTGTTTCAGGACCAACGGGTTCAGTATGTGTGTGTGTGAACGTGTCCTCTGCACCTTGTTGATGTAGTTCTGTGCGGTGGACTTCAGGGGCAGCGACAGGTACATGAGGCCAGTGGCGAGGATCCCCCCCAAACACTGGGCCAGCAGATACACCAGTGCCCTGAACACATCCACCTTACGCGTGGCCAAGAGCGCCACAGTCACTGCAGGATTGACCTAAAAACAACAGCACACTCTTACTTAAACTCAAATCAACATCCCACGGATCATTGTACTTGCGCTCACCAATTCCCGTAGCCTACTATGGGATGAATGTAGTCTCACAATAATGAACACTTGCATCCATGAACTTGATAAATGTTGCAGTTGTTTTACTATCCACAACCAAATGCCTTTCAAATTGCGTGTGCAAAATTCAGAATTAAATTTGTTGTAATTTGTACAAATAGACATTTTTGTGAATACATATGCTTTCTTTTGTATTAATGTCTCATAATTTGCATATGCAACAACCCACATAGCAACACTGTTTTGGCCCAGATCCAGCCTGCATCTGGCACTTGTGGAAAACTGATCTAGCCCACATGCAGCGTGGAATGACGGCCCTTGGGCGGACCGCTTCTGTTTGCCAGATCTGGGCCACAAGCTGGCCATAGCAATGCCACATGTCAGCCAAGAGCAAATAAATAAACCAGAACTGGCCCTTATCTGAGCCACAATAAAATCTGTGTCTATTAAATAAGGAGTCATCTCATCCTTAAGAAGCCTGTTACCAAGCACAATCACTGAAGCAAAGAAGAGAACAGAAAAAAAAGACGACCAGAAACAAAAGATGGCTTTATAATCGTCATGAAATAACCTGATTTTCTGATTTCATTTTATTCTACTCAAGCCAAACAAATTTATTGAATAATAAGTACATGTATACTCTTTTCCAACAGTTCTACAGCAATAAGATTGACAATGAGTACAACAAATTAGCCTATAGTGAAAACACAGATTTCAACAATCAGTGTGTGAATCTCAACAATGGTGACAATCAAAAGTGCCTTGCAGCATTTCATGCTGCGTAGCAGTATTACAAAGCTCCCAGCATGCACCGCATGAACAAATTATACAGCTGAATTGTCCTATTATTGTCCAATATTTTTTTAACCCTAAATATTTGCTGTTGTTTTTTGTTGTGACATTTAGTAGCTTTTTTATGATGTCCAGATTGATTTGATTATCTGAATATTTTGTTGATTGTTACCATTGTTGAGATTCATACGCTGGTTGTTGATGTCTGTGCAGTTCACTATAGACTAATTTGTTGTACGCATTGTCAATCTTATTGCTGTAGAACTGCTGAAAACACATTACACATGTTTTTGTAGCTCAATAAAATTGTTTGGCTTGATAAGAATCAAATGAAATCAGAATATCAGGTTATTTCATGATGAAAATTAGGCCATGATTTACTCACCCTGAAGCCTAGGTGTACATGACATTCTTCTTTCAGACAAAAACAATCAGAGTTATGTTCAAAAATGTTTATTTATGTCCCCTCATAATCTTTAATCAAAACATCTTCCTCTTGCAGCGAATATCTCTTCTCTCTGTTTACTGGCGTGAGAGTGGGGCAACCTGTCACTCACAGGAGATCCACCAATAGCAAACCATCCAATCAATTTCCCATCGACGAATCAAGTCCTGCCCCACATTTGTTCAGATATGCCACAATAGGGAAGAAAAAACTATCAAAACTTCTGCCTCAAGCTGACTTTATGCTATTATTATATTTGTGATTTCTGGGAATCACATGGCCTGCCATTGTTAACACTATTAACCAGTTGAGTTAGCAAATAAATAAATCAATCAGTTATTTACCTGAGCCCCACTGATTTCACCAAAGCAATATCCCAGGACCACAGTTGCCATACCGGCAGCCAGTGCAGGGTAGATGGGCCCCGGGGAGGCCCCGTCCGGCCCCGGCACCAAAGAACCCAACACAGCAGATACAAAGATCAGGGAACCAAGAAGCTCTGCCAGAATCCCCTGCCAAAACTGACGGCTCCTCAGCTCCTGGTGTGAATCAAAGCAAATAACTTTACGTTAAACCTGTTATGAAACAGTAACCAGTAAATCAATTTTTAAACAGCTCTTTTTTGTTTTTTTTAAATGTTACAAAATAAGATGACAGTAATTTACATGATGAAAATGTTCATGCACAGAGAAAAATACAAACTTTTTAGTTCAAATTAAAGTCAACCTAAAATTGAATGACAATATCTTGATGATATTCCAAAAGTTTATCTAAACCCAAAACATAAGAGACGGCTAACTGTTTTAAACTAACACACACTAGTGAAAACTACTGAATAAAACGAGACAGTAATTAACTTTTTTATAAGTAACACAAGATTTAACAACTCATTTAATTTAATTTAAGTTGAAATAACAAACATCCAAGTTGATTGTACTTAAAAAATGAAGGCAGCAACTTTTTACAGTAGTGATTTTATAATTATACATATATATATATATGTTTTCCGGATGAGCGGAAGAAGATGATGATGATGACATATATATTTAGATTTACATATAAATTGTAATATCATTTGTTTTATGACGATGCAAGCAAGTCAATAGATAGAAGTATTTTTATAGTCACCATACATTTATTCCATAGTTAAAAGTGGAAAGACATTGACAACTAAAATCAACTGACATAGATGTCACCGAAAATCTTTAGATTGCATTTCATCATAAGTTCACCCTAAAACCTGATCTTTTACGAACTGGATCCACAGCAAATTGGACGCAAATTGAACTGAATCTCCAACCAATCAATGACTGTGTTTTATTTGTCCTTACCTCTTTATTGCCATTCCAAGTCTGATCTTAT